AACTGCAAATCAGAATAAGAGACCTAAAAAGCAGCCCTCCCTGTATGGCTTCTTGCTGCAAACAGAAGCACATTGCAATAGCAGTGCAAAATTTCCAAGACACTTCAAACCACAGCAGCACATACCAGGTAATATCCAGTGTGGTAACCACTCATGTACCAGGCTATCAACATGCTCCCCAACGCTTCGTCGTCCTCAGCAGAGTCTGACCTCATGGGTGGTGGAGGAGGAGGAATCAACTAAGGAATCACAAAGGAAATGTCTGTGTTTCAATATGGTGTTTCCCAGATTAGAGAGCACCTAATTCTGTAAGATTAAAACATAAAACTGAAAAATAGGAACATATCCTCAATATGAATAAGAGTCAGAGATTATGTTTCCTGAACACATGTAATTTCCAAAGCCCAGGAAAAACAAGACTCCTTTAGCTCCACAGGAGTACTGTAAACAAAAAGTGTTACTAGGGGAAAATACTATCTTCTTCAGTGAAATGCTGTTAACTTAAAGTGCAGTTTCTTCAAATAATTTACCCCTTGGTATTCTGACCAACAGCTTCACTGTCACAGAAATGAGTGCAAATCACATCTCCTATTTAGATTATCATAATATTTGGAACTAAATGTATTAACAGATATATGAAAAATACAAGCAAACAGAACAAATATGTTCTAAAACCAAAGGCAGTGAGCACATTCAGTAAGAAAACCTGAGATCACCAATGCTCATCTTCCCCATCATTCTGTCACTTACTGGTGGTCCTGGTGGGAAGGGTGGGGGCCAGCAAGATAAAAATGATGGAGGTGCCTTGAATTTTGATCCAGACTACACGGTAAAAAAAAAAAAAAGTGGAAAAGTATAAATTAAAAGGGAATTTGGGGTATTAGCATTTTACTTAAGAGAATTATGTGAAACAATTCACGTACCTTGAACAGATAATACATTGCAGCAATTTAATGAAAATACAGACATGTATATAATAGTGAAAATAGCTATTTCTGAGGCACATTCCATAACTTGAGAAGTGCAACTTAAGATTACTCATGTCACTGAGGTAAACACGGCTGAAGCAGGGCTCTGTTTAGAAGCATTTTTAAAAGTATTTTCAAAGGGCTTTCCTAAGTGGAGGTCAATGGTCACACTCTCAACAGGAAGAAACAGATCAAATATTCACACAGGAAAACAGATAATTTCTCTGCTCCTGCGCAGAAGGGGCAAAAATTGACTAAATTCCATTGTGCTAGTGAATGTCCTTAAATAAAGATCTAGATACAAATCTACTGACACAGCAGAAAAAAAGATAAAATAGAACCTTATAAAAAATCTTGCACAAACAGTAACATTTAGAAAACATAATGCTGTGTTTCAGAAAACAACTGCACTATTATTTAGACTCATACACAATAGGAAAACTGAGGGGTGTATCAATATCCCATCACTCCTAATTCAAGAGAGCAGCTACAGCTGAAAGGCTCTGTGACATCTGGGCATCACCTTTAATGCCTTAAATGTCCTGTGAAGTGAAGCATACCAATTGGCTAGAAAATGCAAAATCTTAAAACATCTGTCATGAATCACACCACCGGAATCCAGGGAACAATATCCCTCTTCTACGTTAAAAGGCAATTAGAAAGCAAATGTTAGCTAAGGACCAGAAGGTTCTTGTCACAGCAGCACTGCAGAAGGACTATATTGTGACAAGATAGTTACAAAATGGCAGACCAAGAGACACTGACATGCATATCTGTACATCCATTCTCAAAACGCTGCTAATTGAATTCTAGACAATGATAAATATCATATTGTCTCAGGATTCACAGTAATACCACACTAAGCAATGGTACATAAATTATTTCAATTAAGGTTGAGCTTACCCTTCCTAGGCCTGGGGCTGGTGGTGGTGGTGTGGGAAATCTCAAGTTCTGAGGGGAAATTCTTGCTTTTCTGCAGTTGCTTTTGTTTCGAGGTGACTGGGAAGATTTTTCACTTTCATCTGTTGAATATGGAGTCTCATTTTCATTCTAGAAGACAAAGACATTCTTATGATATGCACTAAACAGGAGTTTACAAAAGCAATTTTAGTGCAAAAAAGCTTGGAAACTCTCATTCACATCCCTCCCTCTCTCCAGCCCTCCCAGTCCTACACAGGAATAACTTTATCTGCTCATCATTTTAGCTATATTGTCTTTCACTGGTGAATTTCTTGTTGTCCACTCCCTTTCTTCCATGTGGAGTTCAAGAAGTAAAGGGATGCTTTCATTCCCTCCATCAGCTTGTGTCTGTTTACAACAGAACTGTGCATCACTTCTCACTCTGAACACCAGCAGCACCACCAGATATATTAAAAGAAGTTGATTCTCCCCCTTCCCAACTTCTTATAGAAGAATGAAAAAGTCCCTCACCTCCCCAGAATGCCCCATCCCATTTACTGTTTCATCGCTGGTTGGAGGAAGCAAATCAGACAAGTTCTGCTCCTCCTGATTTCCATATCCTGTGTAAGTGACAACACATGTGCCTCTCTTCTGGTTGATGGAGGCAATAGTTGCTAGATACAAATTGCCATCCTCAGACCAAACAGCACTGCAGCTGTCACCAACTTTCCACTGCAAAAGAAGCAAGAGAAGCATGTAAATACCTACATGGCTGGGCAGAACGTAACTTTTCCTATGCCACTTTCTGTCCAGAGAGATGGATCCCACCTACAGTGTCTCCTTTGCATTTACTGAAATTCCTCTATGTAACCTAAAGTTTATAACGTCATCACCCCACACCACTATCCCAAAATGTTACTCTCAAGGTGATGAAGCAGCCACTTCTGCGTACGGAAATACAACATGCAGCACAAGCACCACTGGCATTTACAAATGAGACAACCTGTTTCAAAGGCGCTGTATTGCTCTTGTTCCTATTTCTGTTCTTTTTATGGTTTTTTCTCTTTATCACCATGCGCTGCTCCTGCTTGTCTGAAGGCTCCGAGCACTCCCCATTTTTTAAGGCATTCTTAAGGAAGAGAAAAGAGAAAACCAATAAATGCCAATCAATCCAGCGGCCTCAGCCCCAGCATCCAGACCCGGCCACGCCGATCCCTTACCTTGAAGGAGGCCACCGCCTTGTCGTACGCCTTGATGAGGGCCGTGTCGTCCCAGATGTCCGAGTCGTCGCTCTGGGGAGGCCACACACGGTTTAGCGCCAGGGCAAGGCCCCGCTCCCGGCCCCGCTCCCGGCCCGCCCCGCCGCTCCCACCTGCCCGGTGCCGCGCCGGAACAGCACCCCGTCCGCCATGGCCGCGCGCCCGCCGCCGCGCACGCGCCGAGCGCCGTGCCCACCCCGCCGCCGGAAGGGGCGCGGCCGAGCCCGGGGCCCGCCGGGATCCGACGGCATCCACCGCCCTCCGCGTGCTTCCCTCAGCCTGCTCTGCCGGGAAACCCGTCCCGGCGAGCTGCGCAGCGGGAGCCGGGAAGGAGCCAACGACTTGGTGCAGCGCTCAGTGCTGGGCTCTTCAGTACAGGAAAGACAAGGAGCTAAGGAAAAGGGTCCAGCAAGGGGTCACAAAGATGATTTGGGGTCTGGAGCATCTCTCTTATGGTCAGAGACTGCAGGAGTCGAGCCTGTTCAGTCCAGAGAAGACAGAGAGGATCTCATCAAGACACACAAATACCTCGAAGGCAGGTGCCCAGAGGATGGTGCCAGATTCTTTCCGGTGGTGCTCAGCGACAGGACAAGCAGTTAAGGCCATAAACTGAAACACAAGTTCCACCTCAATAGACAGAATTTCTTTACATTGAGGGTGGCGGAGCACGGGAACAGGTTGCCCAGAAAGTCATGGAGTCTCCCTGTCTGGAGACATTCAAACCTCACCCGGGCACATTCCTGTGGCATGTGCTCCAGCTAAACCTGCCTTGGGAGGGGGCTTGGACTGGATGATCTCCACAGGTCGCTTTCACCCCTAACAATTCTGTGAATTTGCCTAATTTCTCAACTACTGCAGGTACTGCAGGTACTGCCAGCACCAGCTACATCTTCCTTCCAGCTCTCCTCAAGCTGTGCCAGGGGCCTGTTACCAATGAATAAATGCACTTAGATGGAACACAGTTTAAAAAGCAGAGGCTTCAAAATCTTTCTCTGGAGACTGGATCAGTTGCTGAAGAACATTTAGTGCAGGCAGGTGGTGAGAGCAAGACTAGAGCCCAGCCCACTGCACGACAAAAGGCACGGGGACTTGTGGCACCAGCCGGGGAACTGAGACACAGCAGGAGCCACACCCAGACCTAGACGGGGACGGTATAAAAGCCCAGAGGTTCCTTTGTTTAGGGCCTCGCCCAGAGGCACCAGGTGGAGCTGTGACTTTGTTAGTTATTGCATCAATATTAAATTATATTGAACATCAGGATGTCTGAGACTGCTACAGGAAACATGGGGTTGTGCTGATAAGGAATCCTGGGCTTAATGTGAGTGAGGGGTGTAGCTGGGAAGGGGCTTTATTCCCCCAGCTCAGGTGGTGTGAATGTGACTGACTGCCAGAGTGGCTCCTGGATGGTTGCCAGGGAATTTTCCCCAACAGTTTTCCCCTGGTCAGTAAACAATATACTCAAGCATCCCTGTGAAGCAAGGGCTGATTTTTTCCACACTAACTTACAGAACTGAGGCAGGTTGAAGCAGTAATTTCAAATCATTTTAGTGATGTGACAATTTCAAGATCTGCTTCTATTGGAACTCATAAACATCAAGCCTGTAGCTTATTTAAGTTAGTATCAGGACTTGATTGAGTCACTTTAGTACACCAACAAAGTCTGCAAGTCAAGAGGCATTTTTCCTATAGGGCAGATTTAAACTACATGTAACGGTGCTTATAACATGCATTTCTTATAAACTTTACTTATACTTTATATTACACTTACGTTCTTATACTGCATTTCTTTATGAGATTATCCATTCCATATGTTCTTGGTAACTTCTTGGAAATCAACTGATTATGAAGCATAACCATTTCAGATTAGACAGTATTTCATGCAACATTTTATTGTAAAAATATTTTGAGATTTACAGTTCAGACCTCTGCAAGGTTAAGCACATTTTACAAGTATGTTCCATTCTGAACGTAGCTGTACTTTCAAGAATTCAGGCAACCAAATCTGGTCTAACTGTAGATTCAGAAATTCTGTTACTGGAACCATTAAGTAAAACTAACAAATGCAGCAAAAGCTAGAATAAAGCCATTGCTTAATACTTTTATTCATAGACATGCAGAAGAGTGTAGTAAGTTTTGAAAGAGCACTGTAGACAACTAGGCCTATAGTAACCAGAAAATAACTAATGATAGTTTAACAACTCTGCGCAATAAATGTTTAATCATTTAATGGCTGGACACTTTTATGAATGATCTTCTAGGTCCTTCTGCTTCATTGGTGCACTCTATATTCTCCATAGCAGCAGCTCATTTTGCTCCTGCCTGCAGAGACTTCCTTTCATTAGCTGCTTTTTGCTTTTGTTGCATAATTTCAGAGTCCCTGTGAAGAAAAAACAGCTGGATATCAGATACTGGCTCACAATTTTTCTAAGCAGAGTTCCCTCGCTTTAGTAACTCCCACCTGAAAAAGGAAAAAATAATTTCTCAGTAAGCCACAAGCAGAGTGTTTTATTACCCCGGTTTTTTCAGTGCATGCATTACTCCATGAGGCAGACAGTTCACTTGATTAGTAGACCTCATATAATTCTTTTGGTTTTAGAAGTAAAAGACAAAATGGATCAAACATCTTAAAGAAAGCATTACACAATCTTTTCCTGTTTGCAGTAGGCAAAAATCTGGTCAAAGAAATTAAAAAGCATTACAGAACATAATAAAAATACATCTTTTTAACAGCAGAGACAGCAAAATTTAATCATCAAACTATGCTCTGGCAAGTGATTAGCCAATGAATAAAACACAGTATTTAAATGCTATGTTAGCTAAGACACTGGATTCTTTCTGACCCATCTCCCTCTCATTTTTCAGCCTAAACATTTACTCAACTTTACTAGATCTTACCTCTGTTTCCTCTGAGAAGCAGACAAGCTATCTTCTTTCCTTTTGCCTTTGTGGATCTCCTGAGTTTTCTTCAGGTTCTTTTGGCGAGCAAGTTCACGCTGGTTCCCGCCTGCAAGATAATAAGCAGTTAAACAAGTACTACCACTTGTTTTTTTCCCACACAGTGTACCTGTGTAAAAGTCTGTTATAAAGGCAGTACAGTTTGGCACAATGCATAGAGCTGGTATGGTCATACCTGCTGTCTCAGCATCCTCTCTCAGTGTACAACAGGAGAAATTAAAGGCTCATAGTTGTTACTTTTTCAATTCTATACGTCATGTTCAAGAGATTACCAAAATTCTAATATTCCTTACAGAAACAAAATGTAGTTTGCCACAAAAGGCTGAAGGAAAACCATCACACCAATAGGCTGGGCAAAATCATGTCAGTAACTCATCCAAAGACAAGTCATCCACTCTCTAACACATTCCAGCATTCAATATAGCTTACAAATGAATTTTAGACTGAAATAACAGCACTGAAATTGACTGCACTCAAATACTATTCAAGGGATGACCTCAAGAGGTTTTTTAAATTTGAAATAAAGTGCAGAATGTAAGCCTGGGCCTTAGCAACTGGGTGGCATTACTTCCAACAGAAGTGAGAAGAGTAACATTACTTCTATATGTATAAAAAGACACAAACCCACATCACTATCAGTAGAGAGGACACTTCAGGGAAAAGACAGTTTTCCCCAAGACTACCAACAAGATAGGAATGCAATCTCTTTGATCACACAAAGTTCCAGAGGGCACAACATCAAAACTATCTATCTAAATACTCAGGGTCTCCCAGGCAATGGCCAAAGACTGAAAGATCTTCTGCCTTAGCTGGCAATCTCTCCTCAGTATTCTCTTCCTTAGTTCTATTTTGCTCCAACCTGCCAGACCTAGTTCACACTGGCTTGGTACTTCTTGCTCTACTTCTTTTGGACTGACAGATATGCTATGCATAATCATTTGTTCTGTTGAACTAATACGATCTTTTATACTCAAAACCAACAATTCCATCTCTCCCTTATTTCTGTTGTCTCTCTTTTCAGTCTCTCTACATTATTAAGACTTTCTTTCAGTCTTAAAGCCAGATATCTCAATCTTGAGGTGCCTGTAATTTCTGGTCTACAAAAGCATCTTAGGACTAGGTCACTTTTAAACAACGACCTGCTGGTATGATCCACCACTTTGTACCCACACCATTTCTGAGCAGACAAAGGTACCTGCCATGTCAACAAGTAGACAAGATCAACCCTGCAGAAGCAGGGGTTTGTGCATTCTTCACAACAGCCAACGGACTGCCTGGTAAGAGATGCCAGAAGCTCAAGTGAAAAGAGCCCTGTATGACTGCTACTTCCCAAGAACCACTCTTGTCTTGGAAGATAACTTTTGTCTGTGACGGGACATAAGTACTACCTTTTGGAAACGCTAAGAGAACTCTACTCATCATCCTCACTAGCATCCTATCCCCAAAGTCCATCTAGAAGAAGGGCAGCTGTTTGTTCAGAGACTGAAGAAAACCAGCTGTCTCTGGCAGTACTAGTGTTGATTAGAACTTGATGACTCATGAGCAGATGACACATTCCAGGCCATAAATGGTTCCTGAGTTTTCTGGTGCTCAGGAGGCCAGAACGTTATATGAAGGAGCGAGCAGCAATGAAAGGGCTCTTCTACTGTGCTTAAAAAAAAAAAAACCGAAACAAAACAAAAAAAACCCACCAAAAACCAGAAGTCTCTTCTTTTATCATGAAGAAAACAGAGAGGAAGTAAAAACGATCTGCTAAAGCCAGAATTACCCTCCACCCCAAACCCCACATACTTCCTTATGAGCAGTTACTCTCCGCCCTTGAATTCCGGTTCTTCCTTGTTTTCCAAGCAGACACTAAGAACGGGCTTTGCAGTTTTTCCAGAGACACAGTAAGGTTTTAAATTTAGGAACAGAACTCAATTGTATCACTGAAAAGCAGCTGGCACAGCAAAGCAGAGAAGATAGAAAAGCTGAGCAATACAGAATGCAAACAAAGCATAGAATACCAAACAACTCTCTGAAGAAAAACTTACTTCTACCATCTGTGCTTCCAAATAAACATTGCCAAGGACTATTTGGTCCCATTACTTCATCTGGGATGCTGAATAAGTGTCCCTACCATCAAGGGAATCCCTGGTGTTTTCTACATTCTATAACATCAACCTAAATCTTCCATGAAATTGTTCCAACAGAAGACAATTCAGCTTCCTGAAATTCAAGCATGAACTACCATAAAAAGAGCAGTACACTCGTCCTGCTTATACACCTTTATACGTTCCTCCTCAAGCATCCCCATCCTGGCCTGCTTGTGCAGGACATACACCTCATTTCAACCTGCCCTTGTTCTTTCAACTCCAGGAGAAGAAAAATGCCAACAAAAATCCTAAATGCGCTTCTTATTATGTCCTGTGCACAAACTGTTTACGTTCCAGGTCTATAGCTGCACTTCAGCAGCAGTGTCCTCTCATAACTGTGTATTTTCCAGATGAATGTGAAAGCACAGCCTCAAAACTGGGTTTTTACGAGTGCATGTGAAAGCACGAGCTCAATGAAACACAAGGAGTTTCTGAACTGCCAGACATAGCAGGCGGAAGGCACAGGAGCACTCCCAGCAGTCGGGAGCCGGAGCATCCTGGGTCCGGTTCACAGTTCTCCGCCATTTTAGAGCGGGTGTACGAACACTGCTGTTCGCCAGCACTGAACACGGTGACGATTTACAGAGCGCTCCTGCCTTTTCAACCAGAGCCTCAACAACCTCAGCTTAAACAGTACAAAATTCAATGTTCAGCCCTGATATAAAAGTCCTTTACTTTCAGTCTTGGCGGCAACCGGGACTGAAATGAAGTGCGGCTGTTGTTTCAGCCCATCATCACTTTAATTCCTCCCCCCGGTCCCGGCACTACTGATACGCCAGAAGGCGGAGGAGGATGTTTTCGCCTCCAGCTTCGGACGGCGGCAGAACGTGGGAAAAAGCCTCCTCCCCACGCACTCACTACAGGCGAGATTTCGCTGGTGGGACGCCAAGTCTGCAAAGAGTCCGACGCGGCAGCGGCCTCACACAGCGGTCGACTGCCAGACCCCGGCCCAAGCATCCCTCCCAGCCGGACTGCCCTCGGCGTCGCGCCCATGCCTGGAACCGACCAGGAGAGCGGCCCAAGTTCCACCGCCCACTTCACTACCCCACAGGCCCCAAGCAGCCCTCGATACTCACGGGTCATGGCGAGACGATGAGGCCGCGCAGCACCGCTACGGCTCACACTGCTACCCCTAACCAGCTACCCAGAGCCACCCTAGCACCGCTGAAACCGTCTGAGGCGCCGCCTTCCGTCGTTGCCCCTTATGACACCTCGCTGGTCGCTAACGTCACGGCGCCGCGCGGATTTGGCCCAATCAGCGGGACGCGTGCCGCTGCCTCCCGCCGCGTGGGCGGGAGCCCGGCGAGGTTGGTGTCGTGCGTCCGTCTGGGCTCGGGCGTGAGGGTTTGGTGTAGCAGCCTGGGCTCGGGGACGAAGAGAGCGCTTGGAGAGTTGCTGAGAGCTGGCTGAACCGGCTGAAGAGCTCCCGGAGCCTTACAGGCGGCCACGGCGCCGTTATTGGTTGCTCCGTAGAGGCTCCGCCTCCTTCCGCTCCTCTCCTGGTCGGCGCATGCTGATGACGTCGCGGGGCGCGCCGCCGGGGCGGCACGCCGTGAGCCGGCCGGGCTCGCGGCATCAGCGGGCGCACGCCGCCGCGCGCTGCTGACGCCGCCGAGCTCGCGCCTGTCCCGGGAGCGCCCGGCGCGCGCCTCTCCCGGCGCCGCCGCCATGTTCCGGCGGGCCCGTCTCACCGTGCGACCCAATGTGCGGCCCCCGGGCAGGGCTGCCGCCACCGGCACTGGCGGGGTGGACCCGGAGCCGCCGGCACCCCCAGGTTCGGACACCCCGGCGGCGGATGGAGCAGGGACCGCGGCGGAATCGGCAGACGCACGGCGGGCAGAGAGGTAAGTCCTGCTAAGCTTCCCCTGGTACTGTGTCGGGCCGCCGGCGGCACTGGGCCGCAGATCCCCGGGAGCGGGACGGGGGTGTGCGGGGCAGGAACCCGGCAGATCCCGGGAGGTTGCGGTGGCTCTGCGTAGCGCTGGATGCCGTGGCCCGTCACCGTCTGGTTGTCAGTGCTGTGAAAGGGCGCTGGCTCGTCCTGCAGACCTCGTGCAGGAAGACGCATGCGGTCAGTACCCTGTGACTGAGTGTCCAGGGTTGTCAGACAAGGACTTGGGGGTGTTCGCAGCCTAAGATGAACCCGCGTTTCTTTACTGCCGTTGTGCAGCAGGTCCTGGAATAACATTGCAATTGGCTGCCCAGGGAGGTGGTGGAGTGGTGACTTCCTTGGAGGTGGTTAAGGAAAGATTGGACATGGCATTTAGTGCTGTGGTCTGGTTGACAAGGTGGTGTTGGGTCATAGGTTGGACTCAACGATCTCGAGGTGTTTTCCAGCCCAATTGCTCCTGTGATTCTGTAAGTGAAGACTGCAAAGGAGGGGCCCAGTGTGGTCCGACACTCATTATTTCTGACTCCACAGCAGCCAGAAGCTCTGGTTTGCTGTGTGCAGCAAAAATGCTTTGTGCTCTGTAACTAGATGAGTTTCATTTTGTATTCATTCCTACAGCATTTGCTGTTTTGTGTTCATTTCTTTATGCATTGGCAAGGGAGGACTTTCTCCCTTTTTGCAGGCTTTATTGCCTATTTTTTAAGGTCTTAAAGGGCTTTTTATTGTGATGGAAGCACATGGTAAAGTTGGTCCTCCCTGAGGACCTCCCTGTTGTAGGTTAAGCCTGGCTGGTTGCTAAACCCCACCCAGTTTATTGCTTGCTTCCCCACACCCCTGCCCCTCCCAGCCTTGTGGGGTGGGGCAGAAAATCAAAACGGCAAAAGTGTGAGAAAAGGTGTGTCAAGATAAAGACAGTTCAATAGATCCTGTGCACATAAGCAAAGCAGAATTGGGGATTCATTCAGCACTACCTGCAGGTGCTTTATTGTCTCCAGGAAGGAAGGGATCAATCACTCATAACATGTACTTGGGAAGACAAACTCCATAACTCCAAATGTCCTTTCTTTCTTCTTCCCCTGGCTTTTATTGAGGAGCACAATGCCACATATTGTGGGATAGCCCTTCCATCTTCTGAGATCAGCTGTCCTGGCTGCGTCCCCTCCCAGCTTCTTGCTGATCCCCAGTGGTCAGCCACGGTGCACTGTGAGAAATGACCCTGGTGCTGCACAATCATTGCTCAGCATTAGCTGAAAACAGGGGAGTGCTGTCAGTGCTCTTGTGTCACAAATCTGAAACAGCACCTTCTGAGCTACTATGAAGGAAGTTGACTCTGTCCTCACCAAAGGTAGTACAGATCACTGTTTCAGGATGTCCTCAGTCTGATAGTTGTTCTTCAGAACAACATTCACACTTCTTTTGTACAGTTGGGTTTGAGTCTTTCATAAATACCTTTATTCTTTTAGTTGAAGCTTGCCCCTTATTACAGCATGATGAAACAATGTTAGTGTCTTCTGTTTCAGTGGCTGGAAATTCAGGTATCAGACTAGTTGGCGTGGCATGTCTTTAGGAAACCCATACTGCCTTTTATTCAACTTGTGTCTTACGTCTTTACTTGTTTTGCATTGTACTTCAGGATGTAATTTTTATGTTACAGCAATCACCTTACTGTATCCTTTGCTATCTGATTTTTTTTTTAATGAAGACATTTTTACCATTTTTCACTTAGAGGCTACTGATGCTGTTCCAGCAGATTTGTAAAAGACTTTTGTGTTTGTAATTTAACAGGTGCATCAGTGTAATATAATTCTAAGTTTCAAAACTAGATATTGGTGTGACCCGAAAAGCTCTCTGATCTGCTCTCATGGCCTAAAAACAGGCCTTTGCCATATAGCCTTCTGACAGGGTAGCCCACCTAGCTGACTAGGGGATGCCAGTTCATGAAAACTTTTTGGACTTCAGTAGAACTTTCCATACTGGCTCTCACACTATCCTTCCTTCTGGACAAAACATCCAGCACACACCTGGAGGAACACATCATGTGATGTGTGAGCAACTGGCTCATGGGTTGGGTTACAGTGAATGGGGTGACATCAGACTGGTGACCTGTCACTGGTGGGGTTCCACAGGGCTCCATCTCAGCCCTGAGCTCCTCAACAGCTTCATAAATGACCTGGACACAGATTTCAAAGGTATATTAAGTAAATTTGCACATGATACAAAATGCACATGATACCTGTTGACTGTCTTGAGGACAGGGAGGCCCTGCAGAGAGACCTCAGCAAATTGGAGGGCTGGGCAAACACCAGGCATATGAAGTTCAGAAAGGGAAAGTGCCAGATTCTGCGCCTGGGGTGGGGCAACTCTGAGTGTATGGACAGACTGGGGAACGAGGGACTGGAGGAAAATGACCTGAGGGTCCTGGTCAGTGGCAAGTTGAACATAAGTCAGCAGTGCCCTGGCAGCCAGAAGGGCCACCTGTGTCCTTGGGTGCATCAGGCCCAGCATCACAGCCAGGCAAGGGAGGAGATTGTCCTGCTCTGCTCTGCACTGGGCGGCCTCGCCTTGAGTGCTGGGGACTGTTCAGGGTGCCACAGTATAAGAAAGACATTGAGCTGTTAGAGGGCATCCAAGGGGGGGGCAACAAAGATGGTGAGGCCTTGAGGTGAAGCTGGATGAGGAGTGGTGAGGTCACTTGTTCTGTTCAGCCTGGGGGAGACTGAGGGGAGACCTCATTGCAATCTACAGCTTCTTCATGAGGGGAAGTGGAGGGGCAGACACTTATCTCTTCACTCACAGCTGCTCAAGTCTGTGTCTGTAGCATCAGTCACTTTACATAGTTTTGTTTTCTATATACTGAATAAGTTTTGTTAAATATCAGGGAAATTAAAATTCTGTAAGAGAATTCTAATTTTTTAATATACTTTCTGTTAGATTTTATTTAACTGTTCAGAAATCCAGTGCTGCACTCAGATTAAAAACTCCACATAACATAGGTGGTGTGGAGAAGGTGAATGAAGAATTACTTTCCATTGTCTTTGCTGTACAAAGAACAGTGGGTGTTGAGTGGAACTTGCAAGATCTCTCTAAATAGGCACCATGGAAGAAGCCCTCTAAACTCTTTGCCCAAGGATTTTCTGTACTAAAAATGTGTATGAACTCACAGTGTGGGACACATTGATTCAGCCATTTAACAGAGGCTGCTAAATGCAAACACATGATCGGTAGCTTTTACCTGAATCATAGAAAGTAGCTGGAGAGAATTTTGAAAAGTTTGACTGGGTGTTTATACTTTTTTATATTTCTTGGAAAACATTTACTTCTGACCACCATTTTTAAAATGTGTAAGTGAACCATGGTTGTCCTTACTTAGAGAACCAAGGCATAGTTCCAATATAAAATTAAAAAAACTCTCTTTATGACTCAGTTATAATTATACTGCAGTCTACTATGAGCAACAGCCATGAAGCTGAACACTGGTGGAGTCAGCAGATTTGGGATGATCATAATGGTTGGCAGTTTTACTTGTACTTTGAAAATTACTTCTGCATAAGTGATAGAAAAAGTACTTACATACTAAGTTTTCCAGGGAAGCTAAGAGCTATTAATGTGTTAAGTGTGAGCAGCAGTTTGACTGCTGAAGTTTTTCTGGAAGTCAGAGTTTACATATCATCTACTTGCAAATGTGTAAGAGGAATGTTCACTTTTGTTGTAATAAGTCATCAAACCACTGTTACATACAGCTTTGTTTTTAATATATCACCTATGTTATGTAAATTTTTTTTTTAAAGTTACGTAATTTTTTAGAAGCCTGTATGGTACTGGTATTTTCAGCTGAAGGGAGAGAGCCTTCCAGAAAAAGAGGTGGGGTGTGAGAATGTGTTACTATTGCAAGCTTGTAGATCAGTGATTAGTATTAGAAAATAATATGCCAGCTCCTAGAGCTGATTTTTTGATGAGGAAGTACCAGCTACATGTTGGTCCTAGCACAGCTTCTTGTGTATAGCTGCTTTCCTGTAGCTTAATGTTTATACTGGTTGGCCCATAAACACATCTTGAAAATAAGAGCAACAAATCTAACACTGTAAAGAACTTCAGAATACTTTTTTAAATTTTCCAGTGATGACAAGGTGGACAATACAAGTGGTGCTGGGGAAGCTAGTAAACCTGCAGAGATGCTTACACAGAGAAGAAAACGTATCTCCACCATGCCAAATCTTGTCAAACCCAGAGCTGGACCATCATCTACTCAGCGTTCTGCACCAAAACCTCAGAGGCGAACATCACAAGCTTCTGATGGCAGTTCTTCACTTCAGAAGGATCCCTCCCCATCAGAAAAGAGTAATGTTGAAAGCTCTGTAAAGTCTCCTATGCTTCCTGAGAAGAAAACACCTGTGCCACAAGTGCCACAGTTTTCACCGCTAAAAAAGTCTGCGAACAAAGAGCAAACTGTTGGTGTAGCTGCTCAGAAAAATGATGATAGCTTGCAGAAGAATGTACCCTCTCCTCTCAAGGAGAGACCAACGCAGGAAAGATCACGAGCACAGGAGGAAAAGCTACCTGTGAAACCTTCTCCTGAGAAAGTCAGACGAACATGTTCTGACCGCGAAAGGATCCTCAAAGCTCGGAAATTAAGAGAAATGCTTAAAGAAGAGCTGAAGAAAGAGCGGATGGTAAGGCCTGTGTTGAGCAGTGCTTATCTGTGAAGGGCAAGGCATTCGATTCACCTTGCATACATTATCTCTTTGCAGTAGTGTTTTCTGATGATTGTCAGCTGCTCACTGCTAGTTGTCTGTCACACCTCATAACTTTCTATGTATTTATTCCGTTTATAAGCAGTAGCAGCGTTTGTTCCCTAATAATGCAGAGTTTACAAATAATTGGCTAAGTTTTTCTTTGATTAGACCGCAAGTCTTTTTTTTGGCATGACACCTGGTTTTATTTTGTAGTCAACATTCCAATTTTGAGAGTTTCACAATACAGCAGTGAAGTGTGCTGCAAGAAGCATGGATTTGGGATATTTTTTCAAACTGATCATTGTCAGAGTTCTGTAATGTTGAATAACTTTTAACTTATTTGTGCCAGGTATTGAATGCTTCTGAAAGGGTAAGTGGCTTAAGGGTCTGTAATGCCCTCGCTGAGAAAGGGACGCTTTTAAGATAATCTTGTTTTGGTTCTTGGGAGTGGTATGTGTTTGTGTGTGAACAACAAAATTCCATGAATGGGGTACTTCAAAAATAAACAAAAGTAATAATAATTTGTGATCTATAAAATATTTTCAGAATGAATCTAAGTGCTTATTGTTTTCTTTTGTTTCATTTTGTTTTGTATGGAAGAAGTTGAAACACAGGCCTCCAGTAATTGAAGGACGTTCTCCACCAGATCGTTCTAAAATGACCATGAGAGACTTAATATACTATCTGCCAGAAAACAATCCTATGAAGTAAGTATGACTTTTTTTCTCTTTCCTTAGGTTAAATTACTTTTCGACTTCTATACTACTTAAATATGGAGTACTGGCACAAATAGTGAGTTGTTGCAGTGGTAACAAAAGCTTCTAGACTAGCTTCTAGTTTTCACATCTGCTTAATTCTAGTGCAGAAGTGAGAATGGAGTTTAGTGTACTTGTTGAAACACACAAACATGAATTTGTCCCTAGTGTTGATTTATCTCTGCAGAAATACAGACTAGTAGAATTTTTTTTTTCCAACTCCCTGTTGTGAAATTTTTAGTTGTGGCTGTTAGGGATAATTGCCCACCAGACCCAGTGGACTTAGGAAGCCAAGTATTTCTCCTTCTAGGTGCTGAAGTGCAGAATGCACTGCAAGACCCTAGTGGTGTTAACCATGGATGAATGTAGTTGCTGCTGCTTCACTGACATGTTTCACTAATGCAGCTGGCTGTACAGACTGCCACAAACAGAGCAGAGCAGGACCTTTTTCCTGCAACTACCAAAAGCAATCACATGAATAGAAGTTCAGTTATCCAAGTCCTGTTCTTTCACTAGTAGATGAATTTTCTGGTATCATCTGTTATCACTTGCTTCTTAATATTTGTGTGCTTGTGTGTTTTATTTATCACTTCCCTTATTTTTTCTTTTACACTGAATAGTCCCCAAGGGGTAAAAAGCAAGATGCTGTCATGTTACCTGTATCCATACAATGGATTTCTGCTTGAAGAATCTTTTTTTGTCCTTGCTTGTACAAAAAAGGGCAAAATTTACTAAGCAGTGGTCGTTTGTAGTTCAAGGTAGATGTGATACAAAGAGCTGAAAATAAAAGCTTTGTGTTTCTTTGTCCATTGTGCACTAAAAGCCAGTTTCCTGGAAGAAAGCAGAAATATATCTGTACAAACAATCATCTCTAGCTTTTTATGACATTCTAGGTCTTCATTGGTAGAAGAAAAGAGAACAGAAAGAAGTTCTGCACTGAGTCAAATGAAAGAGTAAGTCTTGATGGTGAAGTATAGCTGGAAAGTTTTCTGGTGTAAAAAATGCTGCATTTCTGTGATAATACTAAAAGTGGAGGTATATTTTTTTACTGTTCAAATATCACAGTCTAATTTATAAAAATTGCAATTTTGGTTGGTATTGTGGTTAAAGAACATTTTGCTTTCAACCTTAAGTTTTACATATTTCAATTTTATAGTAGAATAAAAAGCAGGTTTCAAAGTTCACATATTGACTGATTTCTTGATGTGTTGCATTGCTGGGTGGTTCATCAAATTGTTGAATATCTGTTGAATGAGCAGCAGTTCAAAACACTGAACAGTATTTTTGTGTGCTGTCTTAAAAATTGTAGACAGGAAGAAAAAAGTACTCCTGATCATGAAGAAGAGGAGGAGGAGGAAGAAGAGAATGGGGAAGAGAGTCAGGATGGCCCACTTCTCGTTCCTCGTGTGAAAGTAGCAGAAGATGGTTCCATCATTCTGGATGAAGAAAGGTGACAAATTCTGTGCCTGACTCATGGACAGTATTGCATTGCAGCTTAGTTTGCAAACAGAGGACTACTTTGGATGGGGATGAGTATGGGTGTCTTTATGTTTGAGAGTTGAGCTACACGGACCTAGGAAACAGTGCAAAGATGTGGCAAAATACGAACAGCAGTAGTCTGCATCTTTGTAGTGGCATACTTTTATGAGAAATATTTTTTGGGAAAGAGGTAGAGAGGAAGATGATATATTTTATTACTGTGAATGAGCACTGAAGATTTGTCTAACTTCCAGATGTCATCCTCTGTTTTGCTAACTTTTTTGCTTCTCATAGTTAACACATATCTGCTTACTGTTATTTGGTTATCAGTGTGATTTGCTCCAGCTTTGCATCTTGCCTGTTGCGGCTTTATTCTCCTGTCAGTTTTCAGTAACTTTGCTTATAATATGATGTTTAAAAAGTAGATTATAAAATTTCTGAGTTCCCCAAAGGTACTAGCATGAAATTTACGCCAAGGTTTAAGGATAAAGGTGGCCTGGTAAAAGAATTTGAAAGCATTGAAGAAGGATATTGAGAGGTTGTCATGGTTTTACAAAATAGATTTTTCGATTTCTCAAATATTAAAAAGTCCTTTTTTTTTTTTTTGAAGCTACTTAATTATTTCTGTCTGTATTATATCTTATAAAACAGAAAAAGCAAGTTTACTTACAGAGGGTGAATAGGGTAGTGTTTTCTTACTGCATTCTCCCATTAAAGTACGTGTTAGTGTAATAATTAAAATTATTACACAATAGACATGCTCACTTGTGGAAAAAAAATTTGAATAGCTGTCTTATAAACATCGACTATATTTTTTCTTAGCAATATTTTGAGGTGAGTCTTCTTGTGTGTTTTCTTTCCCAGCTTAACTGTAGAAGTTCTAAGAACAAAAGGTCCATGTGTTGTTGAAGAAAATGATCCCATCTTTGAGCGTGGCTCTACAACTACATATTCTAGCTTCAGGAAAAGTTTTTACACAAAGCCATGGTCAAATAAAGGTGAATGTATTTTTGGTTTCAAGCTTTGAATCCGCAGAAAAGTTATAGTTTTCACCTATGCTTTATACTTGACTTTATACTTTTCATTCCCAGTGGAGTAAATGGATCTACTTGCGTGTCATCTCATGTAATCTCAACCCTCCACACTCTTACAACAGGCAGAGCTGTGGTATTTACTGTGAAAACTGGTATTTTTAAAAAATCTAGTGCCTTTTAATGTGCAGGCTGCCTGTACTTTTTTTCTGCCATGGATGTTTAGATGATGAGAAAATGCTAGTCTGCTTTACCAAGAGCATAATTTTGGATTCTGGTTTACAGATATTTGGGTTCTATATGGTACTTAAGTAGGTTCTTCCCTCCTGGGCAGGAATAGATTGTATAAGGTATTTCTGTGTGGACTGATTTCAGTGCAAGTGGACAGCTGTGTTCTTATGAGTGGGTAGGTTGGGTTCTTTATTACTCCTGCTGTGAATTGACTCTTATCTCTAGGTTTACAACACTGTGCAAGACCTTTTACGATTGGAAATTACTTTTTACCGCTATAGATGGAAAAATTGGCTTCAGAATTCACTGTGGTCTCTTTAGAATGCACTCTTTTCCTTTTCATAATGGAGAGGATAAATTGATATTATGTTTTTCTGATTTCTCTTTGTGCTTATGTTCATAATAAAAATGGATATGGACAATTTGGGGTTGGTTAGCTTTGATTTACTAGCTTTAGAAAGCACACGTCACATTCTGCAGTTTTCTAATAGTTTAGACAATTCTTTCTGTTGATAGTTCATTCAGGAAATGTTATTAGAGGGACCTAGGTAAAATAACAAACATGTTCCATACATACTCACCTGGACTTGCAGCTACAGTAGACAACCTCAAAGTTACTGATCTTATGAAATTAAGTTTACAAGTTGTTTTTATTTCTGAAAGCAAGAAGGATGGTTTAGTAAATATTTAAGTGTGTGTAATTTTGTCTTTCTTTTCCCGTATAGAAACAGACATGTTCTTTTTAGCTATCAGTATGGTAGGAACAGACTTCTCCTTGATTGGGCGGCTGTTTCCTCACAGAGCCAGAGCAGAAATTAAGGTAAAAATTAAAGCATTCAATAAAGAAATTAAACATCTAATTTTAATTTTCTTTTTCTTATTTGCATTCCCATGCTTCCTCTATTAGTGTTGATAATTTTGGTGCAAATTTTCTTCACAGTAGTGCTTGTTTTCTGATACCTGTTTCAAGAGGTTGTATCTGAAACATTAGAATGCTGGTTGAATTTCAATGACTGTATGTGGTAAATGTAGCATCCTTAAACACACTTTGTTTTAGTTAAAGAATGCTGATAGGCCATTTAGACTGTTTAGTGAGGGCCTTCTCTGTTATCTTTTTTGTTGTACACAGCTGGGAAAGTCTTTGATATTTCAAACCTTGCTCAGATTAAATGGCAGGAAAAGGTGTAGAAAATAATAAAAAAACATATTGCTGGTGATAAGCTGTGGTAACAGATTTTATTTAAAAATTAGTCACAAACTTGGGTTCTGTGGATAGGCATGTGAATTTCAACAACTGTAGTTGGTATGTTGCACTGAAGGCTTAGCTTGAGCTGCCATTTTGTGCAACATATTGTTGCATTTCTTGCTTAAGATAAACACAGCTGTGCATTTGCTTTTAGAACAAGTTCAAACGTGAGGAAAAAGCTAATGGATGGAGAATAGACAAAGCTTTCAGTAAGTAAATATTCCCTACCCTACAATGAATCATTAAATGGTAGCCCATCTATTTTGATGGTGTTTTCTGTGCTTTGCCTTGTTTGAATTACTTAGAAGAAAGTTTTTGCTCATAGATGAATCCAGAAGCTGTGGAATTTTAGGTTTTCATTATAAGTATAGTTCACAACAACAATCTTTACGTTTGTTTTCTATTTTTTCTGGATGTTTGCTAAATGAGATTAATATAAACTTTCTCTATATTCAGTTGAAGATAATTCCTTTTATTCCTGGAAATTTCTAGCAAATTTATTTATTGTAAACTGCTTTGAGACTCTTTAAAGATTTTGTTAGTTGAATGAGGTACATATGTTCTACAGCAGTATGTTCATACATTATTTGTTACTATGGTGTAGTTAATGTATTTGTCAGTCCTTACATTTTTGAACTACTTAGTTTATAACTTGTTTTTTAAAGCCAAGCTACCATATTCCAGTCACCTTTATGTCACCTTCAGCCCCTGCTCAAGTGATATAGAAAATACTTTCAAGAACTCTCTGTTTAAATGTATCTGACCTTTGCTTTTTAATATTATGTCATGTATCATTGATTATGTTACAAAGATGAAACTTGAAAAACTAATCAACTTTGAAATCTGTTCTGTTTCTTTGCTTTAATCTGATGAAGAAGAAAAACGACCCTTTGATTTTGAATTCTTTGCCCAGCTTCTTGAGAAGGTCTTAGCAGATGAGGGAAAGAGGAAGCAAAAGACTGTTAAAAGCCAGAAGCCAAAAGAAAAAAAGTCTCCAAGGCCACAAAAGAAGTCAAAAGGTATTTTAAAAGAGTGCTTGAGATGACATTACAGAGCAGTGATCAGTAATGTGTTGCTAGCAGAGGAGGAGTCATGTCGGGCATCACATATTCCTTCCCTGTTGTAGACAGGACAAGAAGATCTTAGCTTCATAGTGGAACTTTTTCAGATGTAGTTTACAGATGTACAGGATGGTAATAATTAGTAACAGAGCAGAAACACGATACCATGGTGAAAATGGTGCTGTTCCACCATCCGAAGTGCTGGTGTTCTAATTTACTGAGTGGTACATATCTCCATGAGTTGCTAATGAATTCACTTCTAGAATTTTTTGGGCCAAAATCATATTTTTGGCAAACTCTTCTGTGTTGAAAGTTTTCTTGCATTTAAAAGCCTCTTCTTTTAAGGGTTCTGTTTCTCCTTTGATAGTAGTTGAACTTCCTGAGTCTGAGCAGTATGATTATTTTCAGAGAATGATGTAAAAGTTGTTTTATCTTTCTGGTTTGTTCAAACTAAAGATTACATTTAATTACTGTTGATTACCACTGTGTTTTACTACCTCAGTACCTGGGAAAGGACATTTGACAGATGTGCTTTAATTAAAAGCAGTTATACTGATACAGTTTCATACAGTTTTTGCTAATTTTGTGGCATTGTTCACTTGTTTCTTCCACAAGGACCTATCATTTTGTAAGTGGTATTGTGAAACAAACAAGTGAACATCTTTTTAAAGAGGATGCTAGCTGGAAATAAAGATTTCTTAAAATTGAAGAAGTTGCTGCTTTTCTGTACCCTTGGTTTTGGATGTGATTAAGTAAAATATTTCATGTATTAGGACTTAAAACCATGTAGAGAAATCTTGTTTCTTCACTTTATTGGTAGATTAAAGGTGTGTCATGCATAAAACAATGTGAGTATGCTTTTCTTCTTCTCATGCATTTTGGAGCTCTTAATTACAGAGAAATTAGTTCATTTAAGATGAATAACAAGGAGAGGAAAGTTCTTGGTGGTTAAATAGAGGATCAACTCAAAGTGTCCTTAAAATAGGGGTTTAACTCATTAAACCCAGAAAATAACTTGTTAATTATTAGCTAGATAAAATTTCAGCTTCCTTATGTAAGCTAGAATGATCAACTGTTACATATTTTGTGATGAAAAATTGCTTTTTTGTATGTGTGGCATATATTGCTATATGGCATATATATATATATATGGCTTTTGGTATATATGGCATATAAAGTATGGCATATATTCTGTAACCATCATCACCTATTTCTGCAGACATACAAAAACTCTTTGTAGGAGTAGCAATGTCTTTTTTTCACTGAACCCAAATGCGACTGTATAAACTGCAAAAAAGCACAGGCACAATAACATTTACTAAGTTAGCTTTGCATCCCATATTGACTTTCCCCTGGTGAAGTGTTGTCCCATGTACAGAATATGTTTTGTATTAAATGGTGATGCTTTTCTGGCAAGTCAGAGACTGATGTTCCCCAGTCCTGCTCATACACTTGGCATTGTATTGGCAGTGATGCATGAGTACACAAATGTTTTCAGTAGAAATGCCTTTGCTCTTTGTGGCTCCTAGTACTCCACCAGTCTGTTGACCAAGAGCCATATTGTTGTCTCAATAGCAAAAGCTGCCAGCACAGAAGCTGCTAATGATCAAGATGAACCTCCGGAAGCTGGAATTTCTGATGCAGAAATAGAAGCGGATGGTGTGACAGCTGAGAAAGAAAATGAGGAATCTTTGAGTATTTCTGAACGAGCAGAAGAAGAGGTTGCATTAGAGCCAGCATTAGCAAAAAAGAAGAGAAAGAGGAAGAGAAAAGATGATCTTGAACAAGAAGTGGAGAATATTCCAGAAGAAGTGCCTGTTCCTTCAAAAACTGCTGAAGAAGGGAAGTCCTCTAATAAAAGTAAGAGGCAAAAATGCTCACTTTCATAAGTTCAAATAGAAATTTTATAGAAAGTCATTGCAAACTTTAAAGTCAGAATTTGGTCTTTGATTTATGTTGCTGATCTGCCTTGTAGGAGGTTGTGGAACAATGTGTTTTAAAATCAGCATTCGTTCTAAATCTAAACATACTTTGTTTTAGATGAGAATAGTTCTCTTAAATCTTAATAGTTACATCTTTTCTAGTGGGATTTTAGTCTTATATTAACTCTTCTTCACTGTAGCTAGGATTTGATTACGGAAATTCCAAGATGTTTCCCAGAATGTCCAAACTGATTTAATTCTTATTAATTGTCAGGGAAAAGAGTGGTACATGATGCAAGCAGTGATGGTGATACTACCTGTGGAGAAGTGGATTGTGCTATTGAAGGAAAGGAAAATGAGACTGCTGTTATAGAGGAAGAGAGAACAGAGTCCTGTTCACCAGTGAATAAGCAAATGGAGAGAGAAGGTGGAGTCAATTTATGCAGGTAATGTTTATAATGGAAAGCTTAGGCAAAACAAAAAAATAGCTCAAAGTTTATTATTTGTTTTATTTATTCATGATTACCACCATTTAACTGCCACAGAATGTGCAGGTTTCTGAGAACTGTCCTGGGGTCTAGTAAGCTGTTTATGATTTATATATTCAAAATATTCTCTGCCCTAATGGGCTGCCCTTGCAAAATTAATGTACATAACTTTTGGGAATTACTTTAGTAATTATTTCATTTTTTAAGAGTGTTTAGGAAGACCATTGTTTATCCTAACTTCTAATATTTCTCTTGAAGCAGGGGTTGATAATGTTGCTAAGTTGAGTTACTATATGCTTAGAATTTTTATCTGTAATAAAATTATTCTTGTGGAAAAGGAGTGATGCTTATATTTTATTTAAGCAGAATTTGGTTGAGATCCAAGCTTTTGAGTTCAGTTTTGGGCATACTTTTACTAAAAAGAAAGTGAATGCTTGATTATTAAACTTGTTATATGTGAAAGTGGTAAATTGAAAAATTCATTATGATACTGTGAGGACTGCTTCAGAATTTTGTGTGTTAATTTGTTGTATTTAGCTGCATTGTAATTGTTTGTTATTTTATATGTATTCCCAGAAACTTCCATTTTCATTAGTAGTTCATTAGAAGTGTATGAAGGGACAGTTATTTGCCTTTGGACTCAACCTAGATTGTTATAAAAGATCAGAGGAAAAAACCATTGGCATGCAGTTGTTTGTGTTAAAGTTTATTTTCTTAAAAGCAATCAGTCTAGAATAATCAGATGAGATTTTTACATCATCTTATAATTGCAATGCAAAAGTACCAAAGATGTTTTAAAGCTCATAGTCTGCAAATATTATTAAAATTTCATGAGATTCTCTGAAATATGGGTAGTTAGTTAGTGTCAAAACTGCATTGTTTTTCTGTGCAACTTCCTCTGTCTGTAAGCAGAAACAACTTTTTTTTTCTATGAGTACACTAATGTTCCTGTATACTTTTATTTATTTCAGCCTTGAAGATAGCAATGATGTTATACTAGAAGCAGAACCTGCTAAATTGAGAAATAGAGATATTAGAGATGGTGCATCAGAGGAAAGCCAGATTCCAGAGTTACCAATTTCAAATATTAGAAGCAAGGAAACAGAATGTGTAGAAATTACAGAATCAAAGGTATTACTATTTTTTTATCTAGTTCATCTCAAGATCTTGCCCTTGATCATTAAAAGTGGTTTGTAAATCAAAGCCATTTTTGGATTGCTTTTGTGATGTTGTCACCATCAAGTGAAAAACAATCAACAGACCTAAGAAAATCATAAAAATTGAAATACTGTCATATCTTGTGGGCTTAATGGGCTGTCCATTAACCTAAATGTATTCAGAGAGTATACTGTGCATGCCTGACTTACCTCATAGACAATTTAAACAGCTGAACAGTTTAGTTGTTCAAAAGTGAATGACTGCAATATGAATAGCTAGGCCTTGGAGCAGGATTTTGCTGGCATATGCTTACTGGCACAGTGTTGGAAACTGATTTGAGTGGAATGCACATTGGGTTGTTTGTGCTGCTCCCTGAATGATCTAGATAATGGAGCAGAGTGTAACCTCAGCAAGTTTAGAGATTAGGCAAGTCTAGAAGGAATTGCTTCCCAAGGACAGACACGCCCAAAGGTTATATTGGCCTCCAGAGGGACCTGGAGAGGCTGGAGAAGTGGGCTACGGGAACCTCAGGAAGTTCAGCACGGGGAGATGCAAAGTCCTGCACCAGGGAAAGAGCAACCCAAGGCACCACTGCATGCTGCAAGCCACCCTGGTGGAAAGCAGCTTTGCAGAAAAGAGCCCGGCTGTCCTGGTGTCTCTGAGTTAAACATGAAGCAGGAAAGTGCTGTGGCTGTACAAACAGGTAATGGTGACCTGGGCTGCAGCAGGAGAAGTGTTGCCAGCAGGCCAAGGAGGTGATCCTTGCCCCTTGTTCAGCACTGATGAAGCCACACCTGGAGGACTGACCAGTTCTGGGCTCCCTGGTGGGAGAGACCTGGATGCACTGGAGACAGCCCCTCAAAGGGCCACACTGATGGTAAGGGCTGGAAGCATCTCTCCTATGACAAAAAGCTGAAGGAGCAGGAACTGTTCAGCCTGGAGAGAAGGCTCATGGGGAGCCTTCTCTGAAGGATCTGAAAAGATCCCTCTTCAACAGTTCCACTCAAAAACTCAAAGGGAGGCCACAAAAAGGACAGAGCCAGGCTCTTCCCAGGGGTGCCCAGTGATGGGACACGAGACAATGGGCAAACACTGCAAGACAGGAGGTTCCTTCTGAGCACCAGGAAATCCTGTTTCATTGTGAGAGTTACCAAGCACTGGCACAGGCTGCCCAGAGAGACTGTGGAGTCTCTCTGTGGCAAGATTGAGAAGCTGTCCAGACAGTATTCAGCAACCAGCTCTAGGTGCCTTCATGTATTGGTTTTATGTGGCCTGGTTTTGGTAGCAAGGGGCTAGGGGGGTGGCTTCTGTGAGAAGCTGCTGGAAGCTTCTTCCATGCCCAGTAGAGCCAATCGCTGGTGGCTCCGAAGATGGGCATGCCACTGGCCAAGGCTGGACCAATTAGAAATGATGGTAAGACCTCTGTGACCACATACTTAAGAAAAATTGAAAACAAAAAGTGGTTGCAGAGCTGTAATTGCAAGCAGAGAAGAGCAGAGAGAGAACATGTGGGAAGAACAACTCTGCAGACACCAAGGTCAGTGGAGAAGGAGGGACAGGAGCTGCTCCAGGCACTGGAGCTGAGATTCCCCTGCAGGCTGTGGTGAAGCAGCTGTGCCCCTGCAGCCTATGGGGATTCACAGGGGTGCAGAGATCCACCTGCACCCCATGGAGGTGCCCATGCAAGAGCAGGTGGATGCCTGGAGGAGGCTGTGATCCTTTGGGAGACCCATGGAGAGAGGGGCCCTTGGAGGAGTACACCCCACAGAAGAGTGACCCACACTGCAGCAGTCTGAGAGGGGTTGGTGCCCATGGGATGGAGCCACGTCAGAGAAGCTCATGGAGAGCTGTCTCCCATGGGAGGGATCCTGGGTGCAGCAGGAGAATGACTCCTGAGCAGTGGGAGCAGCCTCAGGAGATGAACTGACCATAACTCCCATTGCCTGTTTTCTTGCACTGCTAGGGTAGGAGATAGAGCTGGAAGGAGGGAGAGGTGAAGGGAAGATATTCTTAAGGATTTCTTTTACTTCTCATTATCCTGCTCTGATTTTGTTAGTAATAAATTCATTTCTATTTCTAAGTTGAGCCTGTTTTGCCTGTGATGGCATTTAGTGAGTGATTTCTCTGCTGGTCCTTATCTCCAGCTGTGAACCCTGCCTTAAATTTTCTCTTGTCTGTCCAGCTGCAGAGAGGAGTGAGTGAACAGCTTTGGTGGGTGCCTGGCATCTTGCCCAGGTTAACCCATTACACTTGATCAGGGGGGTTGGCCCAGAGGATCTCTAGCAGACCCTTCCATTCTCAACTGTCACAGACATCTTTTATGAAAAATCCTTTCCTTAGGATTTTTTCTCCTGAGAAGCTGAGAGGCCTCAGGAACAAAATGTAAACAATGATGATCTCCTGCTGTGGAATGCAACAGGTGGATATGTGATTGGTCTCATGCGGTTGTTTCTAATTATTGGCCAATCACAGTCAGCTGGCTCAGACAGACAGCCCGAGCCATAAGCCTTCTTCATTCTTTCTTTTTCTATTCTTAGCCAGCCTTCTGATGAAATCCTTTCTTCTATTCTTTTAGTATGGTTTTAATATAATATATAACATAAAATAATAAATCAAGCCTTCTGAAACATGGAGTCAGATCCTTGTCTCTTCCCTCATCCTAAGACCCCTGTGAACACAGTCACACTCAACCACTGTGGAAATCTTGTTTCTGATTTTTGTTACATCACAGTAGAAGATCATCTAAGTTTATCCTTTTCTACAACATTTCTCCCTCAGAGTGAAGATACACATCACTCACAAAAACCAGATGGAAAGCAGAGTGCATCAGAATGTGGTTCACAATCTGAAATCATGTAAGTAATATAATTATTTTACTTTGCGGTGGGACTTGAGCTAAACCTGCATCTGCTCAATTTAAATATAATTCCAATTGACCATAGCAGGTTGAACCAGTCAGGAGATGGTGATGACTTGTTTTTCATATTCAGTGAAGCTTTTTGGTAGAAATTTTGATTACTCAGTAGTAGTGCATTAGCTAAGATCTAAATGGTAGGTAGGAATAGGGAGAAAGACTTAGCTAAACTTTGAGAAAAAAGCCCTAGCCTTTCTATAGCCAGCAGGAGCAAGAGAATGACAAAATTATGCCACATTGTGGGTAAAGGTTGGCTGTGAAATTTAATTTTTGGTTTTTTAATAAAAGGGCCTCACTGAATTCTTTGACATTCATAGTTGTCCATCAGAGCTTATTAGCTGTACACGTCACGTATATGGTGTATTTCTTCTTTCCTATTTGGAAACTGTTCCTCTTTGGAACTTGGTGCAAGCTTCTAAGATAGAAGATACTCCAAAATGTCTCTGTCTTATCTATACTCCTTTATGAAGTTAATTTTGGTGACTGTTTCTTATACTGAGAAATCGTATGTGAAGTAGTCTGTGCCTAAGGTTTCCATTTTTACATGATCATCAACTTCTTATTTCATGATACAGTTTTTTAAAGGTAATTTAGAGATAAGGTACTTGTTAATGCTAAGTTGTTTTTCATGCTTCTGTCTTTCCCTTTTTGAAGGGCAGCTCACTCCTATGATAAAGACTGTCAAAGCTTTATTTGTCCTGTTCTAGGGAGAATATAAGAAAAGGTAGTAATTCCCAATCTGAAGATTATTAAGATGTAGGGCTGTGTCAGTGTGTGAATCCCAGGACATGCCATTGCAGTGGTTAAGGACAAAGAGAGTGATGTACGTACCCCATTCTTCAGTAAGATGTGGATGCTGGCAGTAGGACAAGTTTGGTTTTCCATGACTGAGATAGCTTTGAAAGGGGATGGGGGGACAGAAGAGGCAGATGGAAAACATTGTATATAGGGCAGATTTATATTGTTTCTATATAAAATTAATCACACGAATTAATATAAAATTATAAAATTTAAAATTAATTATAAAATTAATATTTTAATTTAAAATTAAAATTATAAAATTATTATTGTCATTATAAAATTAATGACATGAATTGTGAATCCCAAGGAGAAAAAAATATTCCTATTTATTTAACAGCAGGAAATGATTCCTTAAAGTATTTTGAAGTAGATTCCACTGAAAGCCAGCAAAGTTAAGGTTTATTTGATGCTCTTTTCCTAACTTTGTAGCATATCTTTTAATATCAGAAAGATGCAATGGGTTTTTTTTTTCCTCTTTATTGTCTTACTGCATGCAAAGTGTCTTGACCCATGCAGTCTGTGATGGTCTTGAGGTACATCTTGAACCATATAAGACTTTAAGTTTCTCTTTGGTAATAATGTATATCACCTTTCTCTATATCTTAAGGAAAAGCGAAAAATCAGCAGATAGAAGGCGCTTGCAAAGACCTAAACCAAATTTAATGAGATCATCTGGAAGGAGGGAGACAGCAACACAAGACAAAATGGAAGCCAAAACTTCTTCTCCAACCCTTGCAAATGCAGGTGAAAAGGTGAGAAAGAGGAATGTTATCTTAGTATGTTCTTGATGCTGCATCTGTTTTGCTCAATGGGGATACTGTGGGCCAGCCACAGAAATAACATTTTGAGAACTGCTACTATGATACTTGCACACTTCTCAAAGAGTAATATTCCTTGCCTCAGTTCCAGTGCTCTGAAGAGGAGAATAGAAGAAAACATAATGAAGCCACAGAAGTAGAAAACAGGGATTTGGATACTGCATCTCAGTAAGTATTGAGATCACTTTTCCAGTCTCCTGGTATGAACTGACTGTAACTGTTAGTTTATTCCATATAGTTCTCCTGGAAAAAGATAGCAATAACTGTGAAGCTTTAATGTAAATTTCAGAATTGACTTTAGCATTTTTTTGGATGATATCAGGTGGTACTAAAGTAGAAGGTATATACTTCTTTTCTGGAAAGTTGATGAAAGCATTGAAGTACCAACAATGCCTGTAATTTGAGAGGGGGAGCGTGATAACTATGGTTTTGGTTTCCTGCCAGCCTCAGTTATCAGGTAATGGCTCTGCTTCTGGTGCTTGCAGAAGCAGCTGTGATATGCAGTCTAGTAAAATTCCTCACCTGTGTGACAAATTAATCTCTTTTTAATACGTAGATAAATGGAGTTTTCGTGCATTGTAAGACTAAACAAAGCTTATTTCTTATGTGAAGCAACTTGCATAAGTTTGGGCAAATCTTTCTGAAGACAACAAAATTCAAGTAAAGAAATATATGCAAGGCTGCATGGTATTTATAGACTTGAATATTATGGAGTAAATGTTATTATGGATCCTTTGTGCAGAGAACCTGAAAAAACTGCAGTTGCAAAGACAATAGTTAGAGGATATCGACAGAGATTTAAACCTAATGTTACAAGAGCATCTGGAAGGAAAGAAGAGCCTGAAAAAGATGCAGGAAATGATAAAACATCCCGTCTACAGCCTAGGGGAGAAACTGAGAAGGTACTTAATATAAAGTAACATAACTGAAGATAATAACCTACTGAGTACAACAGTAATGTTATCTTTTTTTCTTTACTTTTTTGCTCCTGAGTATGAACAGGAATTAGCCACTTACTTAAACCTGCTGTCAGTGGTAGTGTGGTATTGCTTAGTAACCTCAGCTATGGTGAGAGGTTGTTACACAAACAGTAGATACCAATAGTCTTTCATGTCCTGCAGCACATACAACTTCAGGTGTTTGCTGTAGTTTTTACTGCACCTGTCTGACTGAGAAATTTATCCTGTAATTGTTTCTGTGTCATAAGCAATCTATTTTGTCTCCTCTTACAAGCAGTTACTTGGTCAGTTAGGTGATGCTGTACTTTATGAATGTAAGACAGTTCATGTCATAATACTCTGTTTTTGTTCAGAATAATGACCAAGGTAATAGATCTGATGATACTACTGAAGATACTGCAGAAAAAGATGGCAAAGTCCTGGAGACAGTGTCTCAGTAAGTATGAGAAAAATAAGAAGATAATCACTGCTGTCCTGCAATTTACCATTCTTGTCGCTTATGGTAGTATTTTGTAGTGTGGTAATTACAGAAGTTTTTGAAGAAACTTCTGCATTACAGAAATTGAGGGCAAAATAGGAATCTTCATTATTTTTGAAACATTTATTAAGCATTTTCATTTTTAAAGTTTTACTTTTAAATTGTAAGTCAGTCATGTGCATGTAAAAAAGCTGAAAATTTAGTCCATCAAAAACTAAAACAAGCCTTAGCTACTCACTTTTAATACTAAAATGCATCCATTTCAGTGGTTAAGTATTTAAACAATAGGAGTAAATGTTCTTAAAGTGTAGTTAAGTGTTAGATGTCAAATAAGAGGAAGAAAAAATTTCAATATGTGCAATGTAATGCACATAGTTATTAAGTGTTGCATTTTTCTTCAGTGAAGTGGCAGCTGTAGTGTAAAAGGAATACTGTGTTTTAAAGAAGAGATTGTAAAAAATAAAAACTGGAAAAAGCCAACTTTCCCCCAAATACTGCCCCACAAAAAAATTCCCAAAACAACCTAAACCAAGAACAGAAATAAAAATCCAAAACCTTAAGCTTGTCTTTTAAAGGGAGATACTTGAGGAGGATCAGTGGAGATCAAGTGGGTGTGATAATCTTCCAGAAGAAAATTTTCAGTTACTTCTTTCATTAACCTGCTCGGTGACTTGATGCTCAGTGTAAAAAGTTGTAGAAGAATCTGACCATTCTAGTAATGCACAACTGATACTTTTACATTAGTAAGATAAAAATGTTATTTATATATTTTCTGTATTCACTGAAGAAAAACTCTGAATTTTTACATATTTTTAAACTCTTTATTAAATTAGGCCCATCTGCCTCTAGACTGGATAGGAATACAAAGAGGTCCATTATGGATCAGAAAAAGGTCTCTCTAGCGTCATATCCTGTCACCAATGGGAAGAGGAAAATAGCAGGGCAAGCATAAGTTTAAACTCTCAGTCCCTAGTAGATACACTTCCAATTTTATTCTTTCAGGCAGCTAGTAATACATTTTAGTAAGTGTATGTTAATAATTATTTAAAAGAAAGGGGGGAAAAAAAGCATCTGTTCTCCAAGTCTTCTCCCACTTTCAGATGTGGTATGTACTTCAGGGATCATATATGTTTTTCCAGGTCTAATGAAACAGCTGGTTTAAAAGAAGATAGCAAACGGAATGTGTTGAATCAAACACCTCTAAAAAGAGGTAGAATACAGAGACCAAAACCAAATCTAGGAAGAACTATTGCAAGGCAAAAAGAACTGATAGTTGAAAAAGATCCTGAAGAGGAGACAACAGAAGGTGGAGAAGCAGAAAAAGGTGTCACACACCATCGAGATGAAAACAATGATCTCTGCCTCAAAAGTGTAAGTTTCTTGAGCAATTGCTTATGCATGCTGTTTTGTTGGGTCCTTAATAGAAGCCTTGGTAACAAAGACCTAGGTACATGCTCCATAATTTGTAGGGATAGGCTTTGCATCTTTATTATTTCAGAATAAACTATATTGGTAGTCATAAAATTTCCTCTTTTTTGCACTTGGTTTCTGTTTTCCATGGTGTTAAGTTTAAGTGCAGTCAGCAACCAAGTACCAGCTCACTTGCTCACTGCCCCATCAGCAGTACTGGAGACAGATTTGGAAGGGTAAAAGCTGGAAAACAGAGGCTGAGATAAACTCCTGAGTGCTGGATAACCCTGAGTAAAGTTTAGTAGGGAAAGCAGAAACTACACTCATGTGCAGAGCATAACCAGAAACTCTTCTACTTCCCATGAACAGGCAGGTATTCAGTCACCTCCAGGAGAGCTGGGCTTCATCACACATAATAGTTACTTGGGAAGACAAAAGCCACTTTCCCCACTTTGTATGCTGAACTGTCTGTCCATGACTCAGAAGGACGTGGAATATCCCTTTGGTCAGTTGGGTTACCTGTCCTGACTGTGTCCCCTCCCATCCTTCCATACCCCCTCACCTTCCTCTCCAGCTTGGCAATATGAAAAGCAGGAAAGGCCTTGGCTCTGTGTAAGCCCTGCTCAGCAATAATTAAAACATCTCTGTGTTATCAACCCTGTGTGCAGCATAAACCCAAACCACAGCGTGACACTTAACACTGTGAAGAAATCTAACTCTGCCCTAGTCAAAACCAGCATACATGGAAATGGAATGTTATCTGACTTGGTTGTACTGTGATACCACATCTGAAAAGAGAAATGCAAAGAAAAAATGCCTCAGAAGATGAACCACTTAAAAGAGAAAATATAAAGAAAAATAACTTTTTTCTTTTATAGTAGACACTGATATTAGTTGGATGACAAGAAGTAAGAAAAATCTTAGTGTTTCTGTAGAAAATATTTAAACTTTATCATTTTCTTCCTGCTCTCCTAGAGGAGAAATTGAGTAAATATTTCATCTTAACAGAGTGGGACTTTTATTCATTTTAGGATTTAACAGTTCATGAAGGCACTCAGCTATCCAGTGTGACGTTAGAAGATGTTTCTGCAGATTCTGAGATAAACTCAAATGCAAGACAGTGTTTCCAAGGAAAGTCCTCAGAAGCAGAAAGCAATGAAAATGAAAAGGGATTGTCAGATGTCTCCAAACCGGTTTCAGATTCTAGTACAGGGTAAGGTTACTTCACTTCATTTGAGAGAAGAAATGGTTCGAAGCTATCAGTATCTCTAGGTATTATACCATATTACATTCAACTTTGGCATTACAAACAAGTTTTATATATATATATAAAGCATTCTTATCAAGACAATACTAGACTTTAACTGACAAAACCCCAAGAGCTTGAAAACATTAAATTCATATGCTCTTGGATGTTAATTTGATCTTTGGACTATTGTCCTAATTTTCAAAAAAATGCACTTTTCTATCTTCTCCATGTTGGTCTCCACAGTGCCTCCTACTGTGCTTTTACAGATCCTTGAGTACAGGGTCTGGTTTCCTATTAAAGTGCCTCCTAAAAAAATAGTCAACCACAGGTATATTGTAAGTCTTCTGGTAGTTTTAAACATGATTAGAGGAAGGTATTTTTAAAATGTATGTATCACAGTAAAATGTCTCAGCTTGTCTTCCAGGTCTCAAGTGGAAGGGGCAGTTAACTTCTTTGCTTATCTATTTATAAGATACAGAGGCATTTAGTGATGATCACTGTGTTTTTATTGGCTCTTTTTCATGTCACTAATGTTGTTATTGCTCTGCGAGCTTTATACAAGGATGCCATAGTCCCATGTCTTTGTTCTTTTGCTTGTTTTTGCAGGGAATCTCATCCTCAGAAGGAAGAGGAGAAAACTGTTGGATCATCTGCTAGGCTACTGAGGATGCGATTCCAGAGACCAAAGCCAAATTTAAGAGCAGCTAGTAGAAAGGAAGTTCTGGATGTAAATAGTAAAAGTGCATCGCAGAAAGATACCAACAAGGAAGAAAGTTTGACGCAGTGTGAGAGTGAATGTAGCATCCCTCCTGACACAGATGTAAGGCTTTTCTTTTTTTCCTTTAGTTATATGTGAGCTGTTGGTTTTGTGAAATGAAGTACTGATGATTTAAAAAAATACAAAGTTAACTTTTTGAAACAATTTTTTAAAAGCTTGAATTTTCTACCTTAAAACTTGTGTACTTTTCACTTGGTCATATGTGAGGAGAAGAAGATGACTCACATATGATGATATGATGAATCTCTTGTTACATGTCCAGATGTCTTTCTGACCCAAAGTGGCATTATAGAGATGACAGGGAAGAAAAAAAAAAGTATTAATGGAAGATGGCACAGATTTCAGGCTTTGTTGTCTTCAATAAGAAAGGTGTATTTGTCCTGGAAAGACTGGGAAATCATTAGTGAGCAGTTACAGAGGAGTTTGTAGGAGAGTGCAAAAAACTCTTGAGTTTTTCAGAGTGTGGTGTATACCAAACTTCATAGACATCATAAACTCTCCTTTTGGTTTATTATTACAGCTTTTTCTGGTTCTTGTGTTTACATTTTTCAGAAAGCAGGAAAATGTGAAGCCTTAAATGCACTAGAATCCTTGGAAAAGCAGAAGTCAGTTTGCTCTCAGGAGGCTTCTGAGAGGCCAAGTTGTAAGTCCCCAAAAACATTTTCAAGATCAGAGGATAGTGGACTGGAGATCTGCCTGTCTGAAATTAGCCAAGATGACATTTCTACTACTATTGCAGGGTAAGGGCTTACCTACTTTTGATCCTTGACTGTAACAATGAAAGAATTTTACAAGGAAATTATTGTGCCAGTGGCTTGCCATCTGGCAAACATAGTCTAATGAAAATACTGCACAAAATTTCCATTCTCATAGTTTAACATCAGTGATACTGCAATTTCAGTAGCTTCTATGCTAAGCATGACATTAATGAACATTCATTTTATAACTGTTTCATCATCTGAAAGACTGGATTAATTTCATGTAAGCAGGGAGATATTAGTTTGCTTATCAAAGAAACCATGTCAAAACTGCTTTGGTTTTATAGCAACAGTGTCATGGTTTGACACTGGCACAATGCCAGTGCCCCCATGAAGATACCCTCTCCCTGGTAGCTGCTGTGAGATGTGACCAGGAATAAGCAAAGCAGGCTCCTACTTAGGAAAGAAAAGAAAACAGAACTTTATTAACTACTCTACAACTACAAATAAAAAGGAACACACACACAGGGAAAATGAAAACCTCACAAATGCATTTCCTCCTCCCCCCACCAAATTTCCAACACAATACATCTATTCCTCAAATCACCCACTCTCGGTCCGGCACCACCTTTTAGACAATCAATCCTCAGTTCATCGAGAGGAGAGGAGTCCTTCTTGTGCCATGGGCTTCCCCTGGAAACACAGCTGAAGCCTCGTGTGTTTCTGTGTCACTCGTGGCACCGCCCGGAGTACATCTGCCATCGTGACCTCTTCCTTTTCATGTCCAGTGCTCTCACCACTGAACACGGACCAGAGCTGCTTCTAGGGTTGTCTTTTTTAAGGATGCTCTGTCCCGATCCAAAAAAGGCACAGTCTCTCCTTTGGGACACCTGTCCCCACAATCTCTCCTTTGGGACACCTGTCCCCCCCATATTTTTTCACCCCCTGGGGCCGAGGGGCACCAACACTGAACCCTCTTGGCTCCGAGGCCATTGCCTCCCCCTAGAATGCAGTCTCTGTGTCACAAGGAACATGGTTCTGTCCATGGCTGTACAAAAAGAGTCCAGCAAAAGCCACTCCATCATCTCTTCCCACTAGGATTCTTCTCTACTCTTCTACTATTTCTCACTCGCCCAGACCTCTCTCACACTTGCACATTCCTTCCTCATCTTCCACTCTATCTTCCAGGAGAGGTCAATGATCTGTAAAGTTCTCATTCTCCGAAAAGGGGTTAAAAGCTCCTACAAGCGGCCGGCTGCACCCCCCCCTTCTTCTTCCCAGCCGTGCTGCCGGCACAGGCCCATGTTTATCCAGTCTCAAGGTTACAGTCTCAGGCACTGTCTCTCTCTCTCTATCTCTCTCTGTGTCTCTCGGGAGGGCTGCGCGATGGCTCCCGGTGTCTCTCTCTCTCTTCCACCCCCGGGCTCAGGCCTACCTCTCCCGGCCACATGGCTTTTCCCCTCCCCCTGCCCAGCCAGCACCTGGGCCGGGGGAGAGACCCGAACTCTTTCCTGCCAGAAACCCAAAAGGACCCTCCCACGGGAGAGCTCTGCTTTTAACCCTGTGTTCTCAGAGTCGGATCCATGTCCTAATGGCCAGGTTAAATGCCAATATTAAAGCCTGAATATCCATTGGCCCAAAACACAGCATCCCAAAAAACACATTTCCTGTCAAACCACCACAAACAGGTAGTCAATAAGTTGGTTAATTCTGTTGTTGGAAATATTTAGAAGACCTGTGCTTCAAAATTTTTACTGGAACAAATTGTTGTTTGTAATTTAAACTCAGCTGAGCTTTTAGTTTACAAGATTTCTTCCCAAAACTCAGTGGTTTTTGTGTGTAATACTAATGGACCTGTGTTTGTGTTTGTACTAAGTTTTGGATTATTTTTTCTGTCTTAACTTTGCGTTGATGACAGAAACAGCACTCAAGAAGAACATCAATGTGCACCTCTCCCACCTATTCAGCTGGCACAGAACAAGACGTACAAGCCAAACTTGGTAAGAACTATTGGAAAGAAGGAGTTACAAATATCAGAAAAGGAGAGCAAGAAAAAGCCTGACGCAGAGCAAAAAGATGAGTTTGACAATACTGTCATGGTAAGCCTTAATAAGAGTAAGGCTTTGCCTTCAAAGTTGGCTTGAAGTGCATGTTCACTTTTATAAAGTGAAATGAAAACATTGAAGTTGCGTTGCCTGAAGCTGAGACAATATATTCAATAAAAAAAATTCCCAAACCCTGGTAAGCTGAGGTATTGTAGGTATGAAATCAGTGAGGTCTACAACTTGAAGTATTAATTATTTTTTTACAAATGATCTGCTTTTGATTGAATTGCAGGATGGGGAAAACAAATGCACATTTATACAAACTCTAGAATAAAAATGCATAAGAATTAGCTTTCTTTTCTCATTTCATCTTTCCTGTTTAGATGAATCAAGTCTGTGTTGAGCAATCTATTGTAATGTCTCAAGTGAAGGCAGAGGACAGCTATTTTTATGAAAAAGGGGTTTTATTAATTTGATAATCTTTAACTGGCTTAATCACTACAATACCTGATACTCCTCTATTTCATACAAGTAAATGACACTGTATCCCCACAAATACTTTACTAGGGACTTGTAAAAGATGTGGAAATCCTCAAAAGCCATTTGCAGTGTGATGTGTTCTGTGTAACTGTTCGTTGGGTGGCACATGAAGCATGTCACAGATGTAGGAATATCTGTGTAGACTTGCCTTAGATTTGGAATACAGCTAAATTTTGCAAGAGTGACTGATGTTTTGGAGTGATTATAGCTGGTTTTGTTATTGAGCCTATGAGAAGTACTTGTGTCCTGCATTCATCTCTCATCTTCTATTAGTGCCACAGTCGGCTCACCCCTAGCTGGGATAGTTCCTTGTGGTTCAGCTTTGCCTGCTTTAGACCTGAGGCCTGTGAACCATGCACATGCATCTGCTCTGTACTGGGCAAATCTGTAGAACCAGAGCAGGTCTGATGCTCCTCTTTACTAGTCAAGCTGTCAGGCCTTAAGTGTTGAAGGATGTGTTTGAGGGGCTTCTTCGTGGAACCAGTGTGGCAAATAGAGATGTGAAGCTTATTAGGCCTTCTGGATCTTGAGGCTATGTTATTGTGGTTTGGGTGTGTCTGTGCTGCCCTCTGCTGTGTCCAGTTTTCAGAGGTTTTCCATTTGCTGAAGTATTTTGTTTCCACAGTGCTTCATGTATTAGGGAATTGATTGAATACTAAATAGATGAGTGTTTCCCATAATGCTTGGGTGCACATAGTGTTTAAGAACTTAACTCTAGGTATCCCAGGAGTATGAAGACTTCTGTTCCTTTTTGCATGTAACTTGAATTATGATAACATGATTTTTACCTTTATTTCAATTGGGAAAATAGCTTAGTTTCTATTTTTGTATATTCAGTATATGTCTGTTTTAGAAGCTTGTGTACTTCTATTTTTCTTCATGCTTCTTTTACTGTAAATTAAAGGGTGAAAATGAAGCTGTATTGTGTCAAGCAGATGTATTGAGCAAAGAGGAACAGGAACAGCAAGAGGTGCCTCAGGTGCTCTCTATTTCTGAAACCTTATTGTCTGAACAAAGCAGGTGAGGTTTGAGTTTAGCAAAATAGCATTTGAAAAGCTTTTGTCTGTGCATAATGAGATACCTTTGCAAGTGTCAATTCTTCTGTTCCTTGTCTTTTGTCTTTCTACAGTACTTCATTTTCAGTGCCTACAAACAGCTTTTTCCAGTGTTTTCAGAGCACATTTTTTTTGCCTGCACTCTTGTTATTATTTATCTGATACATACTTGATCTGTATGATCTTATAGGTCTTCCTGACCGAGATTTTTATTACTTGGTCTGTATTTGTTTAAGTAGCAATCACATGTGTAAGATTTGTAGTAAGATATGTAACATTCAAATTTTGCAAAATGTGAGAGACTTGACTCTCATTTGTCCATCCATATGTTCTTCTATTTTACTGCCACTGTTGTTGAAATAAGATCTTAAATGTGTGTTAGACTGCTGATACTTTCATGTTGGTATGGTTAGCAACACGACTTGTTTTTTATGTTAAAAATGCCTTGACAAAGACATTTTGTTATTTTTGCTCCAAAGTTAACCATAAATGAGAAATGTATTTGAAAATATGATTTTATTAATCTTAAACAAAGCAGTCTGGTAGTCTCTTGTGTAAGTGTTAATTCAAAACATAAGCGCAGAAGTGCTTTTTTTCTCTCCCAGCCAAAGTAAAATGTGTATTTTCTTTAAATTTATTTGTTTTGCTTTAAATTCATCAGTACTGAAAAACTTACCTCCCAAGAAGGCAGGCTAAGTGCTCTGAAACCAGGACAACTCATAAGGATTGAGTCTCCAAGAGCTACACCAAACCTAGAAAGAACGTACAGCAAAAAAGGATCTCCAGTAGTACAAAAACTTACTGCCCCAGATGAAGAAGAAAGGAATCATGGAGAGAATCTGCCTGTGACAGAAGAATCTGAAAACCTTCTCTCCTCAAAAGTGAGATTCTATTTCTGACTACACTTACTGATTCTTGGTTCCACACTAGCTTTTTTTTAGGCATCTAAATAAGCTGTTGTAAGTACATTAATTAATTTCAGCCTAGTAAGAATTCCTGTTCAGTATTTGCATGCTATTACAGGGTTTTCCAAAATCCTGTTCGCGACACATTGATAAGACATGCAAAGACTTCACTTGGATTTTGACATTTCAGTCATATTCATAATACACGAATAGTTACCTGCATGCTGTATTCTGTTGCTGGGTTTCTCCTGAGCTCCTTGGTTGCTTTTCATGAAAGCATATATTGGTTTTAGTATCTGTCTTTTATTAGCTAAATGCCTTCCTAGAGGAACAAGGAGCAGTGATGGTACCATAAACTACTTGGCAGTTTTTAAATGAAGTTTCTTCTCAGGTTAGCAACTTGATCATAATTTGCAATACTTTATTTTACAGGTGATATATTTTGTTGTAATAATAAATAAAATTTTTTTATATCCTTTGCTAATATTGTTGGGCTTTTTTTTCTCAAATCAAAGGATGACATGGACATATTGTTGCTTGTGGGAAATTTGGCTGAGAATGACAATCTAGACATAAATTCAAGAAGCATGACATCAGAAACGCTTTATTCTTCTAAAAAATCACCAAATTATAACAGCAAAAGAGTGCAAGAAGAGTGTCTATCTACAGATGCTATAGGAGGCATTCAGGATACCACAGAAAGGTAAAGTTACCTCTTTTCTAAGTAAAAAATCTTTCATTTTAGCTGGGGTAGAGTTTATTTTCTTCTTATTAGCTGGTACAGTGCTGCATTTTGGATTCAATATGAGAATAACAGTGATAACACACTGACATTTTAGTTGTTGTTGAGTGGTGCTTACCCTGAATTGAGGACTTTTCAGTGTCTCATGGTCTGCCAGTGATCAGGTGCATAAGCAGCTGAGAGGGAGCACAGCCAGAACAGCTGGTGAACTGGCCAAAAGGATGTTCCATACCATGGAACATCATGCTCACTCCATAAACTGGAGGGACCTGGCCAGGAGATGCCAGGCCTTACTTGACAATCTTATCATCTTCTGTGATTGGAGACGGGCTGGGTGTCAGTCAGCAAGCAGTGAGCAGTTGTGCCTCACTTGTTTCCTTGTGTTTTATTCCCCTCTGTCTGTGTGTCTGCCTCTCCTTTTCATTATTTTATATTTTACTTTGTTATGATTATTAAACTGTTCATATCTAAACCCACAAGGTTTACCTTTTCATTCCAATTCTCCTCCTCCCTGGGGTTTGGGGACTGACTGACTGCATGGCACTTGTCAGCTGTGGTTAAGATGCGACAGTACTTTAAAAATTTTGTGCATTTGTCCAGTTGTTTTTATACAGCGCTTGCTTCTGGAGCTGTACTAGTTGTTATCTCCTATGTGCTGTGCAAGTCAATAGGTGGCGTTCTTAAGTAATAGAACAGTTTTTAAAAGGATTAGGGTTTTTTTTCCAAGGCTATTTTTCTTTTTAGAAGGTACTTCATGGGTGAGAGTAGAAGCAAGTAATCAGGGTTTAGTTGTCCGAATTTCTCACTAATAAATTCTTGGGGTACAGTGCACCATGAATGTGGACCAAAGACTGAGCAATGCCATTTGCACTCCCTTATAATTGAGAACTGACAAGAAGACAGCAAGCTCACCTTGTTTCTGTAAGATATAGTCTAAGTCTCTTCAGTTTTTCTTTCCAGTAGTAGAACTTCCTGTGATGAAGCTTATAATCTATGTGCAGGATGAGGCAGATTGTGCCACTTACATGCGACAGCTCTGTGTTATGTTATAAGCTACCTTTTGCTCAGTCTTAACTTACACAGAGCAGTCCCAAATCTATTTTAAAATTTTGCTATTTTCTGGAATTAACTTCTGGTTTGCATCTGTACCTAAAACTCTCTAAAATCTCTTCCATAAATTATGTTGAAATCATGTCCCAGAGGCTTTGTGCTAGCAAGACAAGGGCCTTACTTGACAATCTTATCATCTTCTGTGATGGTGGACTTTCACAGATTCACAGAATGGTTGAGGGTGGAAGGGTCTGCTAGAAGTCTTCTGGTCAAGGCACCTAGAGCTGATTGCCGAATACTGTCTGGACAGCTTCTCAAATGTCTCAAAAATCTTGCCAAGGATAGAGACTCTACAGTCTCTCTGGGCAGCCTGTGCCAGTGCTTGGTAACTCTCACAATGAAACAGGATTTCCTGGTGCTCAGAAGGAACCTCCTGTCTTGCAGTGTTTGCCCATTGTCTCGTGTCCCATCACTGGGCACCCCTGGGAAGAGCCTGGCTCTGTCCTTTTTGTGGCCTCCCTTTGAGTTTTTGTGGAACTGTTGAAGAGGGATCTTTTCAGATCCTTCAGAGAAGGCTCCCCATGAGCCTTCTCTCCAGGCTGAACAGTTCCTGCTCCTTCAGCTTTTTGTCATAGGAGAGATGCTTCCAGCCCTTACCATCAGTGTGGCCCTTTGAGGGGCTGTCTCCAGTGCATCCAGGTCTCTCCCACCAGGGAGCCCAGAACTGGTCAGTCCTCCAGGTGTGGCTTCATCAGTGCTGAACAAGGGGCAAGGATCACCTCCTTGGCCTGCTGGCAACACTTCTCCTGCTGCAGCCCAGGTCACCATTACCTGTTTGTACAGCCACAGCACTTTCCTGCTTCATGTTTAACTCAGAGACACCAGGACAGCCGGGCTCTTTTCTGCAAAGCTGCTTTCCACCAGGGTGGCTTGCAGCATGCAGTGGTGCCTTGGGTTGCTCTTTCCCTGGTGCAGGACTTTGCATCTCCCCGTGCTGAACTTCCTGAGGTTCCCGTAGCCCACTTCTCCAGCCTCTCCAGGTCCCTCTGGAGGCCAATATAACCTTTGGGCGTGTCTGTCCTTGGGAAGCAATTCCTTCTAGACTTGCCTAATCTCTAAACTTGCTGAGGTTACACTCTGCTCCATCATCCCGATTATTTTGTGGAGATGCTGGACAAGAGTCGATACAGTATTAACCTATGGGGCACAGTGTTGGTTGTTGGTCTCCAACTGGACTTTGTGTCACTGATCACAAACCTCAGAACCTGACAACTCAATCAGTTTTTAATGTACTTTCAGTCCATACTTCATGAGTTCAGTTATCAGCATGTTACAAGAGACAGTGTTCAACAGTGTGAACAAGCTTTGCTGGAGTCCAGGCAGACACTATTTACTTCCCTCCCTTTATTTATTGAGCCAGTCATTTCATTGAAAGATGTTATCAAGTTGATTAAGCATAACTTCCCCATTACTAATCCATGCTAACTACTCCAAGTTAGGTTTTTTTTCATGTGTCTGGAAGTAGTTTCCAGATTCAGTTGTTCCATTGCCTTCCCAGGGACTCAGATGAGGCTGACTAAATTGTATTCTTCTGGATTACTCTAAGTCCCTTTTACTCAAGCCATGAGTTTAGAAGGCCAAGATTTCTCTCTTACCAATCTGAACTTGTTTGAACAGATGTAAGAATTGTATCCTTTTTGAAAGCAGTAGAACCTTGAGCACGGGAATTAGTAAATATAGTGTTCCTATGGCTGCTTAATTTTGGAGACCTGTGTTGGTCTGACACTTTCCAGTCTATCTGACCTTATGTTCTTTTCTTTCCTAAAATCTTTCCCAAAACTAATCAGGAAGGTCCTCTACTGCAGACGAATTATCTTGCTTATGCAGTGGGGTTTTTTTTCTTCTTTTATGTTTTTTTTTTACATGTAGCCAACTAAGCAAATAAAAATTCAGAGCACAAGTTTATTTCTAGCTAGAAGTACTAAATATCTGATAGTAAGCCAAACTTATAGAGTGTACTTTGTAGTTCTTCAGAAGTAAAAGTTAAAACATATTTTTGTAGGTCCAGTGATAAATTAAGTTCTGGAGAAGAATGTGAGCAGAGAGGAAGGGAACCCCACTGGAACCCGATGCCAGACCTAATGAGACTTACTAAGAAAAGAGATTATCCTGAAGAGCATGAAAACAGAGAAGAGCACAGTACTGAGAGAAATGAAGAGTTTTTGGTGTTATTAAAAACAGGTGTTTCAGGGGTAAGTGCTTATCATGTATTTTGAGCCAGTTACACCTCAATCCTTTTGCCCAAATTCTTAGAAAGATAGGTGGCACAGAAATCCAGTATGTGGCTGGAAAATGTTAATGTGATTATTTGATTTTTTAAAAATTCACTATTGGAAACTATACTGAATAAATGGAATTAGAATTTAAAACCTATGGAAATACCTAATATACACTGTTGTCTTAAGTTTGATGGTTTATATGATCAGCAATTTGCATTGTAATAAATATGTGCTAACACTGTTGAAAAATAATTTACTGTTTGTTATTCATTGAACAATGGAAATTAAGGCAGTTACCTAACTTCAGATACTGTCTAAAATCAGTGTTAGTATACTTAGAAATTAAAATGAGTGTGAACAAAGTTCAGACCTTCTTTAATTTGCTCAGCAGGCCTAACTTAGCCCAGACTAGTTCCATCTCTGTCTAATGCTGGATAACTGGGTCAAGTTTATCTAGTGTTCCTTATTTTTTATATGTATGACTAAAACTTCTAGTTAGCATATTCTTTTAGCCAAGTATCCATAGTGGATAGAACTGTGGTTGCTGATGTTTATCTGTGTATATGCTGAATAATATTCAAATGCTTTTTTATAGAGTATGATAGTTTTTTCTTCCTACCTTGTTCCCAAGGCAGAAAAAAAATAGTTCCTGCAAATTGTTCTTTAAATTAATAGGTAATTTTAGAAAGTTATTTATCTTTCCAGCTCCTAAAGGGTTGTTGCTCTTGATAAATTGAGCATGGTGTTGGTCTATTAACTACCAGCTGCACTGCGAATTCAAGTATCATAGATAATATCAGTTAATGACACCTCTGCTATAGAACCCAAAATTAAAGACATCAAGGAAAAATATCCTAAGTTATCAGAGATGACAGCTGGGCACATTCTCAAGATCCTCAAACTAAGTTCTTGAAGTCACCAAAACCAGTTACAAATGTTTGGCACTTAATATGGTAATAATAATCTCCTCTGTACAGGAAAACTCCAGTAGTACAGTGGAAGCTGGATCCTTCTCAGAAACTACAAGGAAACACAGTTTTGCAGAAAATGTTGAAGAAACATCTCATAAGAGAATCAGGCTGGACATCACACTCCATTCTCCAGGGATATCATCAGAGAGTGAGAGACATGTAGAGCAAGATAATGATTCTCAGCTTTCTACCTCACAAGAAAAGTGTCCAGGGAGTCTCACAAGGTAAAACAGCTGTTTTGCTTTATAAACCAAACTCAGTTGATTGATAATTATTGGCCATAGTTCTGCCATGTGTAATGTGAGGGCATGCAGCATGTCAGTTTTTGTGTCTTCCATCTGTACTTAGCAGATGTGTGCAGATGCTCCTTTGTCTCTTACTCTGCCTGTATTCTCATAAAATGAACACAGCCAGTACTTTCACCAATCTATCCCATGGTTTCAACAGAAATTCCTGATTTTATAGAGGAGGACATGACAGTATCCGTTTTTGGGGACACAGGATTGTGGGATTAAACTAAAGAGAAACTTAGTGCCAGTAGTGTCCTCTGCTACCATTTGCTTCCACTCTTCACCAGTTTACCAAGGAGAATGTTTTGGGGGCAAAGTTTGTCATTGCTTTTGGTACTCTGAGTGATTGTGCTCATGATTTTAAAGGAGGAAACTGTAGGTAACTGATTATTGAAGAGAATGCTGTCTGAGAAACCAAAGCAGATACGTAGTTATCACCTAACAGTTTCAGTTTGTAAACAATAGTCTGATCAATTAAAGTATCATAGTTGGGGGCTTCTAGTCTAGCTTTAGCAAAAGACAACTGGAACTGTTCCTATGACTTAAAAAGTATGTGACTTCCACATCCCTCAAAATTAAAATTATTTCATACTTTTTCTAATCAAAGAATTGTGTTTCTTGCAAGTTTAATTGTGAACATTTCTAGCATTTTGAAACTGCTTAATACATATTTGCAATAAGTACCTTATGTACACAGGAAGAAGTTAAATTTCTGATTAAATGCTTATTTGTCACTAATAAGTTAAGAAGTAAATAGTTTGCATTGTTGGTCACAATGATAACTTATTTTTTTTAATTGAGTTTATTTTGATTTGTAGTATCCCTCTCTTTGGAAAGTCTTGGATTTCATTGTTTTTGTTCTATACTTTAGAAGGCAGTTCAGGCGATCATCAAAACAGATGGCACTGCCAGAGCATGTGTTGGAGGCAAAAACGGCTACTTCTTCTGCCTCTGAATGTGAGGCTGATTGCAGTGAGAAGGGGACTCAAAGGCAAGAAGCTAAACTGAGTGTTACCAGAGACAAAGGTTTGAAAACTACACAGAGGAGAAAATCTGGGAAGGAGCCCAGAAGTTCAAAGATAACCTTTGTCACCCTCCGGGCTTCTCAAGACGAGGAGGAGGATGAGGAGGCAGATGAATTTGAACTTGATAATGAAGATGAATGTTTTGCATCAGAGGAAGTAAACAAGGCTCCAGTGTTTGTTCCTATAGGTCTTCGATCTCCAAAACCAATTCCTATGCAGATACAGGAAACTGTGGAGGAGGTATTGTGTAGCTGGATTCTATATATGTAATTTTGTTCTGATTGTTTCAGGATTTTATTCTAATTGTATCTCTGGGTATTTGGGTTTTATCTGAGTTCAAGTTAAGAATGGTGTTGAGAGTAGCAGGGATGTTACTTGGCACATACGCTTGGTTTTGAACTTAATACAGCCTCAGCCTAAAATCCAGTTATGTAATTATGTTTACAAACTGTATATAGGTCTGCAGGGAAGTCACCAGTTTGTTTATTGAGATTAAATATAGGCCCAGACTCGATCCTTGTCCATGTGTTTTGAGGCCCAAGATGGATCAAATGGAGCACTTCAATTTCATATTTGAATGTTAGGAAATGAGGGTATGAGGAAAATGTTTCTGTATGTCATGTCCCCCTTGCCAAGAAACTTTTACCTGTCAGGTAGGCTGACCTGACCAGCAACCAGGCACACTCGTCTGCTTGCTTACTCCCTTTTCCTGTGCGACAAGGAGAAATTAGGAGGGCGAGAAGATTTCTCTGTTGATATAAAGACAGTTACATACATGAAGGAAAAGCTGCATGTAAATGAAAAACAAAATAAGGAATTTGTTTGCTGCTTTCCGTTGTCAGATTACTTCCTGGGAATCAGGGCCTCGGTCTATGTAAGAGTAACTTTGGAAGACAAATGCCCTAACCACAAATGGCTTCATCTTATCCCTCCTTTCCCTGGGCTTTTATTGTTGAGCATGTCATGATATGATACAGAATTTCCTTTTGATCAGGTTTGGTCAGCTGTACTAGCTGTGTGCTCTCCTGACCTCTTGCTTACCCCTGGCCTCCTTGCTGGATAAAATAGAAAAAAAGCATTGACATTGTGCAGGAATAGCAGAAACACTGGCATGTTACCAACCATGTTGTAGTTAAAAATCCAGAAGACAACATTATGTGGGCTGGTATGAAAAAAATTAACTTCATCCCAGTCATGGCCAGTGCAATCAATCTTCATCCTTTATTTCATACCATTTGTGTCGTGCTTAGGTCTTACACCATCCAGTAGAAGACATTTTCCTGTTATTTTCCCTGTCATTGCTACTTTCCATTCACTTCAGTGCTTTTTGCTTTCTAGTGCTTTTTTTCATACCACTACTGCTAGTCCTCTTCTTCTCTTTGCCCATTGAAATCCTGCATTTTATTGTCTCCTGAATGAATCACACTGTTTCATTCTCCAGATGAAACAGCAGAATAATTTAAAGCTCAGTCAAAACATGAAGGGATTTCTAGAATGATAATTGGTGGCAAAGTTGCCATATGGAAACTTTTGCTGAATCCTTGATTTCAGAGATGTAGAGTATATATAATGCTTGGGGATTACAATCAAGTTGCCTAGTTTAATGCTTAGGAGACATGAGTACTAGTGAGGAATGTGGTTACATGCCCAAGGACCTAGTTGTTGTAAAATTTAAATAGGTCAGTTGAAAGTCTGTAATGCGCAAGCCTTTGAGAGCAACCAGATTGAGCAGTGTTTTCTGTAAGAACTTCCCTGGAAATGTCATAAACTTTCTGTCAAATTTCAAGTCCTCATTTCTGAAAATGTCAAATGTCTGAAATTCTCAGTGAAAATACCTTGCTGAGGAAGAAAAAAAAATACGTGAAATGGTGAGTGGGTCTGTTTCTATGTGTCTGCATATTGATTCCCTATCTTGCTTTGGAAATAAGTCTGTACTGTTTTTCCATCTTGAAGACTTAAAAAGCAGAAAAAGACTAAAAAAATAAGAAAACCCATTTGAGGTAAACAGTCACTATAAAAGATCTCAGCTGCATAGCTTAGTTCAGTGGAGAAGTGAGTGACTAGAAACGAGGCCTTAGGTTGTCTGATGCTTCCACTTAGCTACAGGTAGCAGTACCTGTTCTGCCTTCTGTTCATACCACTGCTTCCTTCTCAAATCAGAAGGTATGATTTTTGCAAAGGATTTCTCTAGATGTTGAACATCTGTTAAATATGTGAGGTTTATAAAAATTTGCATTTGACAGATTTTCTTTTGCATCTGATGAACTCAAATACTTGTAAAATTACTTTTACAGCTGGAAATATCTGTGAATATCCCAGATGTGCAGGTGGCTACTGATGCTGAAAGTCTTTCTTGTGCTTCTATCCAACCAGTAGTACAGAGGGAAGAAGAAAGCACCTCAACAACTGTAAGAATGTCTTTTGTTTGTTTCATTGGTCATACAAAGCTATTTCAGCAGTTTCTTGTTGCCCTGTCTGAATGTAACTGCATAGCTTTTTAGACTGGTACCTGTAACACACAGATGTGAGGCACACCTGTGGGAAAACTGTGTTAGTAAATATTGTTAGCCTTAAAACCAGGGAAACTTGTGGGCACAGAATTTACATGTAAGCATTAAAGAAAAATTATAAGGTAATTTTATATAGAGCTTTGATATTGTTTTTCTTTGTATTTAAGGAAACAACCATACATGAAAACCCAGATGTGGACAAAGGTAAATATGAAACAATCTTGCTTATGTATTTCCTGTTAACTTGCTACTGATATACACATTTCCCCCTTTCTTAAAATATGTTTCCAAAGGTGCCACCATCTTGACTGAGAGGCTCAGCTGTGTCCTGCAGTGGGTCAGCTGGAGCTGGCTGTGTCCAGGGCAGGCCCCTGCTGGCAACACCTTGCCACCTGTATCCAGTACACCCTTAAAGGCAGTTGTGTTGCTGCTCAGTGTTTTAATAGTAGTTTGAATTTGCTGGATGAGAATGGCTGCTTGCCTACAAGCATTTTGATTCCTAAATAAGGTCAATTTAAAAAATACGTACTTCACTGTATTGGTGGTAGTGTCAAATACTTTTTGAATATGGGTAAGTCGGTTTCTAGTTAATGTGGTTGTGACTTTTAATGTGTGTGAACAACTTCACAGGAATTAACGATGGAAGCACTGAAGCTGCTATGACTTTACTTGCCATGGGTGATCCAAATTTCCAGTTAAAAACAAGCACTGAAGGTATGGTCTGATTTATGGAACAAAGCCTTGCTCTTGTGCTTTCTGGGTCCACCTAAGGAGGGATGGAGCAGTGACTGCAAAGCTCTTCCACATGCTGCTGCATAGCAGGAAGTCAAGAGTCTTTCATGCTTTTAATCCTGTTGCATTGTAACAGGTAGTGAGTCCAGCCAATGCAGGTTGGCTGGAAACAGGCAGGCATCCTACTGAATACTGCCAACAGCATCACTGCTAGAAAGTTGTTTCTGTAATCTTTAGGACGCACATGTTTAAATTGATATGGGCACATAAACTGGACAAAAGAAAGGGATCAAGCTTAAATGACTCTAACTTTCAGTGATCTTTTCAGACCTTTAATAGCATAGCCTTTTCATCCTAACTAGCTACAACCTGAAATTACCTGGGTTTGTTATAGCTTTTGTGTACCATTTATTATCTGCTTTCATTTGCTGAATGTTACTTTTTGTGTTCTTACTACAAAAAGTGTTCTCTTAGGATTGTGTTTATCTGGGATTTCAATCTGTGTCTTTGGAGAATAGAAACTGTTAAATGAGGCTTGAAGTTATATAGCTTTATATACATGCCAAACCTGAGTGTTTTAAATGAAATTTTCCATTCTGTTTATTGTTATAACCAGAACAGACACATATGTTACCTGCTCAAGATGACTTGGACACAGCTCATAGCCTTGTAACTCAGGTGTACTCCAAAGAAAATAGAACTTCTAGTCAGTATTCACTTGCTTCAGACACTTCTGTCAAGGAATTGCTGCCTTCTGAGGATGGAAACAACATCAATGTAGAGCATCATATCACTGGCACAAGAACAGGGATAGAAGAATATTCAGAGATGGATGCTACTGATACCAGGTTAAATTACTATTTCATTTTCTTTAGTGAGACAGATCCTCTGGCACTGCTTACTTTTGCTAGATTCTTTCTGGCATTTTTATCAATTTGCAAGCAGTCTTGCTTAAGTAAAGGTCTCTCTGTTAATGTAATGTAGTATGTAATCTGCAGAAACTCCTCTCATCTCTTTCTTACTACTTTCATGAAGTGTTTTTATTTAATTTTGGGTACCTACAACTGTTTTTTCTCTCATGAAATTAGGTTTACTGGCGGAGGAAGGGGAGAAAAAAATATGCAAACTAATTATGCACTGGATCACTCTTAATTACCAAGCTCTTTCTTGCAAAGTTCTCTACAGCTAATCAGACCAAGGCAAATTGCTTAATTGTCACTGCTGTTACGGGGGTGTAGATCAAAGATTTAGAGCAAAGGGATGGCAAGAAACCAGTTGATCTTCCATCATTATGGTTTTAATGAATGATCATTAATAATTTTTGCAGTTGTGAATTACTAGACAGCTTCGTGGGACACTTTCCCAGAGAAACATCTGCTGATTATCATGATTTATTTGGAAAACTATTTAAGCTGTTGACTGCTTGAACAAAGTATGAGATTATGCTCTTTGAAAAATGTTAATCCAAGATAGTTTATTTTGCATCCAGTTTAATTACATTATCAAACCAGAACTTTCTACTATTTCATATGTATTAGATTTCTGATCTTCTCCTGTTATTTAAACATAAAGATTTTTCTTTTTTTTTTTTTTAATTCCTTTACATTAGAAACATACTAGTTTGCAGCATACCTGTCCGTTTCAATTCGCAGATGATTTTTATTTTTTTTATCTTGACGGGTAGTTTTCTGTCTTCTCTGCCAGTTGCAGCCTACATTTCAGGTCTTCATTGTCTGATCTACCTCATATCTCTTACATCTTCTCTTCACTAACTGTCAAAAATCAGAAACTCTGTTGATGACATCTTTCCTTTTACTTGTAGTGGTAGCTCTTTGCCTGTGGTGAATAGTATGAGACTGACAGGAGGTGGACACCTGGAGCCTGAGCCAACCTCTGCAATATTGAGGTCCAGTGAAAACATAATGCAGGAGATACTTAATGCAAATATACTTGTGGAACAACTAGAGCAAATTCAATCTGGTAAGCCTGTTTCTTATCCTAAGGCTCTGAAAATGGTTATTCAATAGATTGACAACTGTTCATGAAATGAAACAAAGCTGAATGTTTTCACTTTCCATTCACATTTACAGGTAAAACATCGCCATTGTAAGATAGGGTACCCATTTGTGATATCGTTTTATACATGAGAATACCTTTCAGTATGAAATTAAATGAAATTTGAATAGCAGGTTTTTTCTGCAGGTATTAAAATACCTGTAAGGCACTTAAATTACTTGAATGTCAATTACAGATTGGCAGAATCTGTAATTATACAAATACAAAAATACAGTCAAATCCACTGTACTTTTTTCTATTATTACTGTCTTTTCCTTCCATTAAAAGTGGAAGAGGAGATAGAAGGAACTGGCTTTCTATTCTTAAAGCAGTTGCAAAAAAGGTAATCTTCAAACTCTTAATTGTCTTCATGTCACTGGCAAAATAGGAAAGGCAAGATGAGATATGTGTATATGCCTTATTTATGTAAGACACAATTATTCATGTGCACATTCATGTATATGTGTCTATATAAACATACTACAAAACTTTAATTCATACAAGATTATATATAAAAAATAATACAAATATATATATACCCTCAGACTGAAAAGACAATATTTTAATTTTTATTCTTAGAAAACTTAGATCCTATAACCCTGAGGGGTAATGCAGAAATGCAGAAGGTGGAACCAGAGCCAATCAGACAAGCTGCAGGTGATTCTTCAGTTCTTCATGACTTTGCATCTGGAAGTATGGAACTTAACAAGCAAGTAGACAAAACTGAGAGGTAAGAAGACTCATCATTTAATACTGACTTTATTCCTACTGTGTCTTAAAATATGCAGCTGAAGTTCAGGTGTAGTATGTGAGTGTAATGGAAAAAGTGTGCTCACAGACTCTGTGTATGTGTTTATACAGATAGTGTACATTTTAGACTTCAGGTTTTTCTCCTTTGCATGTTCTGCTACAGCTTTTGGAGATAGAACATTAACTTTTGTTTGCTATTTTAGAACTTAGTAATTACCTTGCTGCTTAACTGTCTTTCATGGAACGGAAAGGAAATGTTAATGAGTTGATTAATTTAGAAATGTTAATGAGCTTATAATGCTTCCTGCTTGGTTGTGCTTTCAGTAGGAGTGTCTCCATTAGTGAAGTTACAGAGGCCTTTCTGTGAAATTCTTTATGTAGATTTGTTCAAAGATTATGCATTCTGTTTCGTACAATGATGTAATCTTTAAACAGGTGCTTTGTTTCCCTGTAATTAGATATTATTCATATTAAATACATTGTAACACAAAATTTAGCATTTGCACAGGGTATCTTTATCTGTTTTCAAATTAACTAGATATATACCTTGCAGAACAGAAAAGCAGATAAGAGATGCATGTGGAAATTCAGAAGATTTAAGACATCAAACTGCATTGTCAAAACCTGAAAAATCACACCTTGGACTAGAAGATTGTCCAAATCCAAGTTCTGTGGATGAACTGTCTGAGCAGAGTCCTTGTCCTCTTGAGCACCAAATACGTACAGTCAACTTTACTCAGGTAAAGAACAAGAACTTAATTACAGTCCAGAAGCGCCCAGATTTTGAAATTCTGTAAGAAAGAGGTTTTCAGTCCAAATATACTCACCAGTTTTAAACACTTGATACTGCAGTGGTAAACGAAACTTGCTTTTTTGCAGGGGTATATCCAAACCATATTTCAGACAAACTTAATCTTTGCAAACTCTCTTTAGAATGTTTCAGTAATAAGTAATACACATTAGCAAAACTGGGAGGAATTTTTAAGAAGTCTTGATGGAAGAAGTTACCTAAGATTCTTGTATCCATTCACTGTGACCAACCTCTTACTGTTATATTTGTGTTACATTAAAATGAAGTTAAAATGTTACTGCTTGGATGGAGCAAAGCAAACTGCATTCTTCGTTATGTTCTTTCTCATTTATTAAAAAAAAACAAGAGTTTTACATGCATGTTATTATATGACATACACAAATTTTGCAAATTTTTACATATATCTATATCATTTATATTATCATCATGTACATTGTCACAGGTAAACAATATGTCTTGCACATCCATTTCTTTGCAGTTGCTTGTGGGTCTGTGTTCTAGTATAAATGAGAGTTACCTTATTTTTGTCATGAGAGACAGGTTCATTCACAGTTCCCCAGGGATTCTAGTGTTGTGTGAGATCAGTGAGCATGTAGTTACATTGGAACAGCTAATGCATAGTAGCTTGTTTCCCGAGTGCAGCAGGTTGCTGTGTCAAGGCTGATTTCATATAAGGACAATGTGCAAAAATGATGTTGCTCTTACAGGCCTGGCAGAGAGAGTATAAGAAAAGGCAGCTTGTGGTAGAGGTGGTTCAATTAATTCCTGGTTTTAGTAAAGGGACAAGCTGTAGAAGGGAAGGGATAGATGAGCTGTAGAGATTCATGTTTTTATTTGGCACTCAGTGGTTTGTTAAGGGTTGTAGGAATCTGCTTTCTTAGTGCCGCTGAACAATTTATTGTGTGAGTCATCTCGACAGAATTGTGCTGTAGGAAATATAAATTTATTTTGACAAATTACTAATATAGACAAGAAGCTGCATATAAATTTTATATTTCCCCAGTGTTTCTTGTCCTTGTTAGGCTAGTACTCTTCAGCCTAGAACAGCTAGAAGTGAAAACTGACAAATGAAATAATGATGATGTGATTGGAGTTTTTGGATCTTCAGCATTTGACATGCTTTGTTTCTTCCTGTTTCCTAGAGTAATTTTCAAGATTTATTAATTTCAACCGTGTTGTTTTATTTCAACTGTGTTGTTTCTAGAATGAAGCTTGTACTCAAGATGCTCAACGACATTGCATAAGCAGCAGAGAAGAAACTTCAGGTACAATATTCAAAGTGCTAATATTCAAAGTTAACAAAAGCCCACATTTGTTTATCTTGCGCTTACTAAAAGATGAATTACAACCCTGAAATTTTCATTTTAAAAAAATTAAATTTTTCATTGACATATTAATCACTCTATTCCATTAACACAAATAATGATCCACAGCATCCACATAATGACATTCCCCTCCCTAGCCTCTTGTCTTTACATTTCATTAATAGAAACTAGACTTAAGAACTATTTGAACAGCCCTTCATTAAGTTTAAGTATCAGTGGAAGGGAAACTTGCTCTCTTTGCCCTGTTGAGAGCTCCTGCTGCTTACCCTGTGGTAGGTATAGTATATAGTTTTTAGAGTCCTTTTTGCACCTCTGACTCACCCAACAAAAACTGAACATGACAGAGGGTGAGAAACTGTAGTTTTCCACAGGCTTAGTGAGCTGTAGTTGCTCATGAAGTTACCAAGTGAATGCTGTTGTCAGAGTTCTGTGAGTAGGAGGGCTGTACTGTGCAAGTGTGGAGCAGAGGGAAAGAAGAAGAGGGGACGTGTAAAACAATCAAACTTCCTTCTTTAGCTGTGCTGAGTCAACAGATTAATGCTTAACTGATGAAGTATGATGAAAGTTACGAAGGTGATGTCTGCTGTTCCCTAGAACAAATTGAAATGCTTGGTTTGGAACCACTGCTTGTCTAACATAGGGGATAGTCACAGTGACAGAGGCCCAGAATACTTACTTTACGTGGAAACTACAGTCCAAAGCTGTAACTCATGAGCTTCTGCAAAAGATCAGGCTAATACTTCTTCTTAGACATTTGTTGCTGTGCTCTATTATTGCCAGAATCTTGGGTGAGGCATCTTAAACTGTGTTTAATTAGATGAAGAATCCAAGCAAGCTGAGGTTGGAATAACAGCTTTACCTCATTGAGATCTGTCTTAAATAATGGACTACCATTGTTGTTTTCCATCTTTTGAAAACTTTACAAATGTTTGTTCCTTAAATTCTAATGGATGGCAGCTGGCAACTATCTGTTAATATCTGTTTGTTGATTAAATTATCTCTGTTTTTCCTCTTAAATTCAAGACTATGCTTTCAGATCCTGTTCTGCCAGTCTGCAGTGAGGGGAAAAATCCTGTGCTTATCTTCAAAATAGTAGACATCTGCCATTTAAAGAAGTAACTCTTAATACCTGAGAGTTGCAATTAAAGATAGAGGGGCACTTGACCACCATGACATACGCTTAATTAAACTGCAAATTGCTCTTTAATGCTAGAACACCCTTTAAAAATCTTCCTCATTACCAGGCATTTTTAATATTCCTCATTCTAAATGGTAATCAGGATTCCTCTGCAGTGCATAAGCACCAGGAGATGATGATGTGTATCTCATCTGGGAAGTCAGGAAGCTTATTGTCTCAAGAATATATCCAGTGTCTTTTTCCATGGAGGAATGAATGCCTAAAATTTCAGTACTCTGTATAGGGAGGACATGAAGGGAACAGCATAATTTCATATTTGATTAATAGTTTTTTTGTTACTTATTTCCTTGAAAAAATTATAGTAGTGAATGATGGTCATAGATGTCCAGAGGAAGAACAGACATTCATTTTAACATTGGTGGAAATCCCAGCTGGCTCAAAAGAGTTTGATGCATCTGCTATGGTGGAACAAACTTCAGAACCAGTACTACCAGCCCCAATACTTATCAGCCCTATAAATGCAAGTGAAACAACTGTGACTGAAGTGGAGAGGTAAATGCTTTGTTTTTAATCAAAGTGAAACAGTTTTTGTGTACCTTGATTGTTCTCTGACTGTCTAGTACAGATTAGAACTTCTCCAAAGAAGAAATGCAAGAGGAAGTAATTTTGACAGATGGCTAGAGAATTAAGAAAGTAAAAAGGGCCCTAATTCGATTTGAGGAAGATTCTATAGATGTTTGAAATTTAGTGTTTTAGTTAGCTGAGATTTTGGTGTCATCTTAATTCTGATTTACCCTTTAGAGTAATTCTTCCTTCTTAGTAGAAGTCATTTGCCCATCTTGAGCTTTACTTGGCCTTATGGATACTTACAATGCGAAGCAATTGAAATTAAAAAATCTAAGCATGTTTGCATTTTACATTACTTCAACAGTTTTGTAGAGTATCTGTTTATTAATTGCTCATCCAGATTATTCATGTAGATGGTTTTCTGAAAAACACAATAAACAATAATTAAAAAATAAATTCTTCTTGTCTTGAATTTGCTATTTTAAAGGCAGACAAGGTGAAAACATAAACTAATTAATTACTCCAAAGAATAATAGCTGGTTTGTCTACTGCAATACAAAAAGGCTTGAATTTCTTTTACAAAGAGTACCTCTGAATGTAGTGTAACAAAATTTTTAGTTCAACATTACTATACTAAGGAAAGTCCTCAGATCATAACTAGAATGTGATGCAATTACAGCTTTTATATTTTCCTAGTCTTTGCTGCTTCTCTGTATGTCTTATATATGTCTGTATGTTTTTGAGACCATACAGCATGTGGGGGTTCAACTGTGCAGATAAATAATACTGTATTTTAGCATTTTTCTAGGGCAGTTAATAAGTTGCCATATTTTTGCATCATATGAAAAGACCAAGTGGAGTTCAAATAGAGCAGCTAAACTAAATTCAATATGACTAGAAAAACTAACTCCAAATAGCACAACTCCAAATTGTTTCTTGGTAGTAAATGGTACATTTGAAGTTAATATTGACATTAAGCAAGAGAGAGTATCACCAAAGATTCGTGTGTAATTTCCATACTTTATACAAAGTAAGTTTTGGCTTCTTGTACTGTCACAATAATTATTTTATATATCTATAAACAGTACTGAATCCTTGACAACTGCAGCTGGTAAGGTTGCTGGACCTTTGAACAGCAGTACGGAAACCAAACAACTAGAGAGTGCAGTAGACCCTGTTTCAAAGTTGCAGACAGCTGAAAAACGGTTGGCTGCTGAGCTTGAAGAGAATGATTTTCCTCCTTCCAAGAAAACTCCATCTACTGTTACAGTGGAAAATAGCCTGGAAACCACTTACAAGGTGAGATCATAATTTGGTGAGTTTTCATCCATGGGGTAGATACATAACACATAATAGAGAATTTTAATTATGTTTATTTTTTAATGGTGTTACTTGCTTAAATATGTATTATATATGCCTATACAATTTAAAAGGAAAATCAACACCTATAAATTGCTTTTAGTTTTTAAATCTACAACAGGTTTTGGGTATTTGTTTATTTATTACTAGGGTTTTTTGAGAATCTGTAGGCTCTCAGGTGTTTTTGAATTAGACTTCCTAGTAGACAGACTGGTAATATGTCTTACTTGGTTCATTCTGCATCAACCTTATGACAATGGCATTGCAGGAGAGGAAACTCTGGAGGTATATTGGGTGACTGGCAGGATGTCTAGGTGCACTGAATGATGTTTTGAATCTGCATTGTGTCTGTTACATGAAGAAGCTGTTAGATAGATATGTTCCTATTGATTCTTAACATAGCAGGTACTAGTTTAAAAAGCAAGTTGCCAGTGAAAACAAGCCACCATCTTTCCAGCATCCTTCTGTGCTCTTTTACAATATGACCAAGCTTATGGCAGCAACTACCATTGATCTTTGTAAGCGGGCTAAGATTGTATAGTGTACCTTGGTGTAGGAATGGGTGGTAATTCCCCAGATGATTCAGAGAGCTTTTCTAAGAAGGGATGGATAACAATCTTCTTCCTTCTTTGATGTCTTATCTCAATATCTTTGTCTTGAGTAATTTGTCATAAGAACATCTTGAAAAGCCTGTTTAGGAAATGAGTTAAGTGATGAAGGATGCTGCACTGTCCTACTGTATCAGTCCTGTGCTTAGAACTGTGCATGTGTGATATGAGTTTATCAACTTCATTGTCTCTTCTGTATTAAGAGCAATTAAAAAAACTTTTTTTTTTTCTTTTTTAAATACAGGGTTATTCAATTAAATCCACAGATGTGCCAATGGTAACTTCTGGTATGTACGTGTAAACTTGCAAACCAAAGTATAATGAATGTAAACACATCACAACTTAGTACTGGTTGTCATGCTAAATAATTCTTTCTGAGGCCATCTAACACAATAGTAGAAACAAGTTTTCCTGGTACTACACTAATACCACCATTCCATGCTTTCTGTTATAAACTAGGTGTGCTGAATTACATAAATGTTGGTTATTTAATAATGGTTTTAAAAGCATTGCTGTAGCTAGTTTATTGGTGAAATTTGGGAGGTTTTTTTGACTAAACGTGTTATTGTCTCTTAAGCAAATATTTCCACCTGTTAAAGAGCACAAATAATCAAAAGTATTAACTGGCATTTTAACCACACAGTGCCAAAATAGTTTATTTTTATTTTGTTTTGCATTTTTACTGAAAAAGTATGGAATTGTTTAGGAGATCAATCAGCCTCTGAAGAAACAGAGAAAAAGCAAAACTGCTGACAATGCAATCTTCATTGATCTGAGCCAGGGAAGGGCTTGGTGAACTATAATTTTGGCTCTGAAAAAGACCTCTAAGGGAAGTTGTAGAAGGTTAAATGGCTAGGTGACTAGACTGAGTTCTGTGGAGTGTTAATAAAGGATGGGGGAAGTGGGGAGAGTGTGCTGTAAAATTTAAAACCACACTTCTACCAGCTTTTTCCTATAACAGTCATATGGTCTTACAGGCTTTAAAAGTAGACCACGAACTTTTAATTTGTAGTGGTGACTCATAAAAATAAATGGAAAAATAAAACTAAACAAAAATTCAGCCCTTCTGCTGTAATGGTTCAAACCATTTTAATATCATGTGTTTTTTGGGCTCTTGTGTTATCACGGAAGTGTTTGACCCTCAACTTCTTTTACAGGGAATCCTGTTCAAAAAACAGAGTCTACAGAGTCTTCAGCAAAGGAAAAAGTACTTACTTCTGTATTGGTGTCTGAGTCTATCTCACAACTGGCTGAGAAAAGCCAGCTTGAGACTTTGGACAGCTTAGGGAAAGCACCACTTGAGAATACAGCATCTGAAATGGAAGAGGAGGTTATGTCTAGATTAACCTCTAACAGAAGAGCAGAAATAAGTGGACAAGGAAAGCAAGAGAATGTGCTTGAATCTGCACAGTTGGAACAAACTAGAAGCCCAGCATCTTCTTCAAAAACTCCATTACTCAGGTATGGAGTAATTGCAATAGTGTTTTGTCAGCTTGTTCCGTAAAAAAAGATCATGTTTCTATGTTGACATCTTTTTAGTACCATTGTTTGTGACCTGCATGGCTAAGAGTTACAGTATCTATAATCTCCTGCAAATCAGAAAGCATCAAACTGTCTGCTTTGAAATTTGCATTATTTTACTCATTAAATGAGTAGATCCACTGAAGGGCACTACTGACATATTGTGTGTCTATTTAGACATGATAGAAGCCTTTTGTCAGGTAGGCATCCATTTGCTGTGATAGGAACTTAGGATAATTTGTTCTTTTCCATAGCTAAGTCTCATGTTGTGATATATATACCCATCCATTTGTTTGGGTGTTCATCCTGCCAGTAAGATTTGTTACTGAATTTTTAGCAGTGACATAAGTAATTTCCCCAAAGGAGTTTCAATCTTGGCAGCTTAGAGGATATTCCTCTTCCCTGTATGTTGATTTGATTTTTAAAATATACTTTTCTGTACAGTTTGTTTAAATGTTTTGAGTTCATGTTCTCTGTTGCTCCTGTACTTAATTATTTTGATTGTAATGCTCCACTGGCTTCTTCTAATCTGGCATTTACTTTTTCATTATGCTTGTGTGAGTACCAATATTGTCTATATTTGGGACATCCACAGCAATTGGATAGTGATGCATTAACATCAGAATCCTTGCCTTAAAGTTTACTTTCTAATTTGTAAACTCTTAACAACATGAAAAGTTAATACTTTGTGTGTGACTCACATAAGCTCAGTGCTGTGACTTCCATAAGCTCACTGGTCTGGGTTTGCTGCTGTAATTAGGCTAAAACCCTGCAGGAGGTAGTCTGCTGTAGCTCCATCCTTGGGGACCAGGTTTTCCATGGATTACATGAAGGATGCTCAGAATTTTCAGTTTGTTCTTCAGAAGTGTGCCTCCATCCTTCTTGGAGCCACTTTCTGAAAGTCTGGTAGCTTGTTACAAGCTGTGAATTAGCAGCAAATAATAGGTTCCTGTTCCCGGGCTTAAAAATTGTCAAGAATCTCTGTGACTGTTCAAAAAAACTCTTGTATATTCAGTAATACCAAAGCCTTTCTCAGAATGACTTTTTGGTTTTTTTCCTTAGAATTTTCATATGTCCTGTAGGTGTGTGTTTATTTCCTGTGTATAGAATTGGACTCCTGCAATGCTATTTACATCTTCCTTTTATCGAGCAATCCTATGACATCCTGACCATACTTGTTTTGAACAGGGGTGGACGAAAACCATTGGGATTTTTATCTTTAATTTGCAAAAAAAGTAATTCTGAATCTGCAGAAGACACCAAAGGGAATAGAGGGAAGGTCCAAAAGCCACGAATTGTGACACCAAAACGAAGTCTAAAGAAACCCACTCCGTCCACTAAGGATGAGAGGGACTCTTGTTCCTTTCCCTCTACTTCATCATCTGTGGAACATGAACATGTAGCTGCTGATGCTACAGTTACGGTATGAGTTTACTTTTGAACAACCATGCATTTCTGAGGTGTGAAGAACAGAGAATTAGTTGTTTAAGGAGTGAGTAGATGGGTGTGTAGCATTCATGTTTTGAGTCCAGGATCTGTTCCAGTTGACAGATTCTGACTTGTGCATGTTTAGGAAACTTGCAAGGGAACTAAGTTGATTTTTGTCTGCATGGATATCTATTTATTTCTCATTTTCAGTAAACCCTGATTTTTTTCCCCCTGAAGTCAAAACTTCCTACATAAATAAATAACCCTTACAAATAGCTCATGTGCATATATATGTAAATATATTTACACATACACACTGATGAAGACTGTTAAGAGCAACCTTTTCTTGTTTTATCAGGTTCCAAGTAACAACTCACCTGAGAAGCCACCTCTCTGTGCTAAAGATCAAGAGAAGGAAGGAGAGCCAACCAAAATCTCTGAGTACTTTTTCAGTGACATCTTCATGGAAGTGGATGATTCAGAATAGCAAAGGGTTTTATAAAAACCTAGGATCACAGAATATACTGCAACAAGAAAAGAGTATTTATTTTAAAAGTTACAATTTGTTCTGATATTCATTATGCCACACTTAATGTCAGCCAGTAATAACAGTAGCAGATAAAATACAAGGAAAGTGATCTCTTTAATATTCAGGGAAAACTGAACATTCTCCGAAAGTAATGTAACAGATTCAGAGGAGAAGATGGAAAGCTAAGGCTGAAAAGCCTCATCTCCTGCTCCTCCTTTAACAAACTGGGTGTGATTACTAATAAACGCCAAAACATGCTATTGGAACTGGGATGCAGGGTTGGACAAAGAAACCATAAACCAAACGTCTTGAACAAGCTCCTGTACCTATGTAAACTCCCTATAAACCATTATCACTGAGCCCAGCACAATAGCAACTCAAATCTCTGCCCCTCTGCTGTAAAAGCTACATGTTAGGCACAATGGATCTATCTCCAGATAAGAAAGTAAGCCTAGGGACCAGAAAGGTATTAAACCCTCAAAACAGCCTAGGGACCAGAGACAGGCGAAGGCCTCCATCCAGAGAGACATTATGAATTCAATCAACATGGCTACTGACTGCTTTATCTCAATGCAGAGTAAGTAGAACCAAAATGCAATCAGTACAGGATTTTTTCACTTTCTCGAGCCACATGTAGGGCACTAAAAAAAATGTATTTGTCCTGGTTTAGGGCAAATTTGAGAGGAAATTTTCAAAGGGGTCCCTCTAGAAAGCAGATTCAAGCAGTCCCTCCCCCAACTGGTTTGGAAAGATTTTCTTGGAGAAAAGTGGAAAAAAACCTATTAATTTAACAAGCAGAGTATTCACAAGCATAAAAAAATGAACAATACTAAACAATAAAACCTGTTGCTGTTCTGAAGAGATGGCAAATTCAGAAAGTCCTGTCCTTGGAGTGTAACTCAGCTCACTCAGTCTGTTACCAGTTCCTCCTGTGCTGGAAAATGCTGCATCCTGGGCTTCAGTGGGCCACAGGTGTGAGGTGCCCATGTTTTTCTGGGTTTTCAGTCCAGAACAGGGATGATCAGTTCCCAAAAAAAAGAAAAGCCACAGTCCAGTGAACTTCTCTGCCTCAGCTAGCTAAAACCTAACTAAAAACAAAGGAAAGCTCTCACCTGCCGTCTGTCTGTTCTGCAGACAACACAGTCTGTGAGAGAGAATGCAGAGGAGCATGTGCAGCTTCTGATAACAAAACTGCACTTCTTCTCTTCCCCTTCGCTCTCAGAACCAGTCTTAAAGGTGCAAAACCTAATATCCAGCATAAACAGAAAGATGACTGGGGATACAAGCATCATGAAGTCACCCTAGGACATGTTAATTAGTGCTGTGAAGATGAAGTAGATTGTTTCTGAAGCAACCCAGGAACTTTGAAAATGCTGGCATAGTCTAAACCACTACAATGATGTCATAGCACCAGACTACTTACTGACTGCTGGTTTATGGTTTCACTTGTTTAGACACTGATAATGAGTGCATAACTATCCTACAGAAAAATGCAATGAAATAATGTTTAATCTTGCAACAAGTATCCTTTTCCATTTTAATGCTAAAGCTTCTTAGTACTGACTATTCAAGTTCTTTACTTCTTTTTGTGAAGTATGTTACGTTAGAAGGAGGAATTAATCTTTTGGGTATAATGTAATATCTGAAGATCAGAATGCAAATACTGGAAGTGATGTAGTAAATACATACATACATATGTCAAGCACTTCAGGTGTTTTTATTTGAATCTCCAAATTACATATTTTTGTAAGAGTTTTTTAACCACATAATTTAAAAGACTGTAATGTGAAAAGCCCAGTAGGATTGGTTCCTTAAAAATTTGTTGAAAACTTAAGAACACAATTTACTAAAAGATAACACAAGGTTAATGTTTGCAACCTTTTTTATCACTTGGAGGAGGAGATTGATGTTTCCTAGTATAAATGCTAATTTTCTTCTAAAGTGGAAAACAAAGCTATAGATACAATTTCTTCTCCTTATTTTTATGTGTAGTTGTTTGTATATTTACTGACTTCCTCAGTTTCCATTGTGCAAAGTAGCACAAAGACATTGGATTTAAACCATGATTATATAATGTCACTTTTGAGGATTTGCTGCTTTGAAGCACTTGAATTAAAAGGGTTTTCTTATGTGCATGTCTGCTTGTACTGTAACTTGCCATAAAATTCTGATTTAGCTTTAGATTTTAGTTTACGTTTTTATTTACCTCATCAAGAAATTTGTCTGGGTGAGGTAATTAGGTTTATGCACTCTGAAAGTCAGGTGGTTGCTGAAAGAGTCAATATTTAGTCTGAAACTCCTGCTTGCACAAGCTTGAGTAGTCTTAAAATTTTTCCCATTACTTAATACTTGCAGGTACTTTTGCAAAGCAATTTATTATGAAGGTTAAACTGATGTTTAAATGGTATTGTTAATGCTCTCAAGAAACCTATAATCAGGTTTGGACTGGGTAATCTTTTACTGGCAGGTAAATAATACAAATATATAGTTAATTTTGAAATAGTCTATGAAGTTTGAGAATGTTTTTCTTTTCAGAAGTTGTTGGCAAAGCTTCTGAAGGAACCTTTAAACTATTGTCAGAGAGGAGAAATACAGAAGAAAGCTACTGTTACTGCAAATTGGTATATTAGCTCTGCCAGTGAAATGTCACTAGCAGCAGTATTCCTTGAGGTGATGGAAAAGGGACTAGTGCTCCCAGTGTAGAGTAACTTACTTGAAAGCATCTGATCAACCCACTTCACCCCCCAAAAAACCCTCAAAAATACAACCACAGTTTCTATTCGGATGGTATCTTTTGCTTTGTCTAATCCATTTAACTTGAAATGTTTATCTAAATTTTGTTCTACTGTAAACATTATGAAAGAGATTCATGTATACATGTAACTCTATGTATTCTATATCTTGTAGATATTAAGTATGCAAGTGTTTACTTCCTGTTATGTCTGGCATGTTTATATCAATTGCACTCATAGAGCCTAAAAATAGATTCTTGAGGAGTGGCTATGAAATAATTTCTGTGAGTACCTTTTGAGTGAGTTCTGAGGGGATAATAATTTATATTCAGTTCCATATATTTTAGCTTGCATTCATGTTATAAGGGGGAAAAAATCAACTACTTCATTACTAAGATTTATGGTGCCTTATCTGCATTGTTAATTGGGGCTATGCTTTCTTTTTCCTTGCAGCAAATAACATGCACTTTGATAGAGGAATTTTTTTTTAAGAACAAATTTAATTTGAATAGAAATAAAGAGAATTTTGTGTTTTGTTTTGTGTATGGAAGTTTTATAATGATGAAGGATGTAAGAAGATATCATTGAAATCTCAATATGTATGTGTAGCATTTTTACAAAGATGTGGCATAAAACTGTTTTGCTTAGAGTTGTCTGACGCCTTGTATCATCACATACAAGCTTTCTGTGTCAAAGGAAGTAGTCCTATTCTGTATGTAAATTATGTGAATAAATTATTTTCTTTTACCTGTGTTGCTGTTTATTTAAGTTTCAGATGCAGTTTTCAAATACTTAGAAGTCCACGAAGCTAATAAGTGTGAACTAAAGGAAAAGGTGAAGTTTGGGCTGCACCACTGGGGTGCACACAGACCTGCTGGTAACAGGCTGAGCATGGTTTAGTAGGGGGATTGTCGTTGTTCCCTGGTTTTGTTTTAGAATAGAGCTTGATTTACTTGGTATCCGACACCCTGCTGTTACCTTTCTCTAAAGATAAGGTAACAAGATAAGGGCCTTGACTTAAAGTAAAACTGGAATACTGAAGAATAGCAAAGTTTTCACAGAAGGAAGAAACTCGGCCAAAGATGGTTTGGATTTTAAAGATTGTCCCTATTACTGTACGACAAGTTTCTAAGAAAGGCAAGGGCTTTCCTAGGCTGTGCGTGAAAACACAGTTTTCACGTGTGCGCGTCCCAGCGCAATTCTTCCAAAGGGCGTTCTACCGCACTGGCTGGTCCAGGGGCCCGGCCTGGGACTCCGCGGCCGGGCCGGCCCCGCTGTGCCCATTGGCTGCGCCGGGGGGAGTGGCGGCGGCGGCGGCCTGGGACGTCTGCCTCGGCTCGGCTTGCTCGGCTCGGCCCAGCCCGGCCATGCTGCTGGGTGCCCCGCGGCTCCCGGGCCGCTGCCTGCGGCTGCTGCGGCCGCTGCTTGCCCGCGGGTACCGCGGCGAGGCGGTGGCGGCCGTGGGGTCGCGCCCTGACGCAAGCTCCGCGCTTTACCAGGTAGGGCGGCGGGGGTCGCAGGGCCCGGGCGGGCCGCAGCAATGCCGGGGAGGAGTCGGTGCGGCCGGGACGTGGCGAGCACGTGTCTGCGCACGGTCCTGGTCCCGGCCCCGGTCCCGCCCTGCGGAGCGGCGGGGGCAGCGCCGCGCCCCGAGCGGCCAGGCCTGTCCGTTTCTGCGGGCCGAGCTTACAGATAGTGTGTGAAAAAAACGTGGGTTAGTGCAGTCGTCTGGCTCATGAATATTTTTGCCCTTTTAAATTAGGGTGCCAGCTCTTGCTGCGTTTCAGGCTGATCGATACCGTGCTAGTGAGGTGGAGGCAGGGTTTGTAGGCAGTGGAAGATGGAGCCTGATGATTTCAAAGTTGCATGTTTTTGTGTTTACAAATTGATTCCCGAGTTGAAAACAGCTGGAATAGCTGTACAGAGCCATGGACTTGCATCCAAAAACATCTTTTGAGGAGGAGAGCTAGGTGTAATTCCAGTTGTCTTTACGAAGAGAGCAGTACTTTCATCTGATGTAAATACATTTATTTTTAATGGGGCATTATTAAGGCCATCATATTCAAAAATTGTGTTTACAGTTAGTCTGAGAAAAACATGGCTTTAGGTATGAATCGAGGCTGATAGGAGGGCATGTGTTTGTTTTCGTATTTGTTCATGTAATATACAAAACTGGTGTGAAGCAACGGCATGTGTTCTTAATGAGATAGGTCCATTGGTTCTGTGTTTGGTTCTGTGCTTTGTTTTGCAGAAACTAAATTTGGGACAGAAATTAGGTGGCTGAAGCTTCTCTGTAATCTCAGAATTTGTCCATATGCATATATATATACACATACACAGCTTGTGTATGTGAAGTGTGTCTATATATGTGCACACATTCATATTTCGTGTACCAAAAAATTATAGTATTTTAATAAAGGTGTTCACTAATCTGAGGTGCCCCCAGATTTGCCCTTATGTCTGGGTTTCTTTCAACCTCAAAAGAAAAGCAAGGCTTGGTAAAATAGCTAATAGTGTTAGTATTTGGTAGAAATAATTTATGGAACACTCTTAAGTGCAAGCACTGCTTTACAAACACAAAGAGGCACTTCACCACCTGAAGAAAAAGTAATACAAGGAATAACAGCGCAAACACAAGAAGACATTATGATAGGTGATGAGGGTCTTGCCTTCCTTGGCCACTGTTTACCTTTCTGGCTGTGAATTCAACTAGACAGGCTCGCCTTGATGATGCAAACTGTCTCTTGAACCAGATAGGCAGAAATGTCATTTAAAGGTGAGTGAGTCTAAATTCTGGAAAATGAAAGTCTCTTTGAAGATTCCAGGCACTAGCTCTTACATACACTGTGGTGATGTAGCAATAATTCATGTAGCTTGTGCAGTAACTGTTGGATTTGTGTTTAGAGTTTGCCTCTTAATTTTGCATTGAAATTTGTAGAAATCCTCATATTAACAGCAGAATTTCACCCAATGTGCTGGTGCAAGGACCACTTTCCAGAAAGAACTTGATGCCAGTTCACTGACCTTTTTTTTTCATTATTTAATGATAATAATGAAGAGCCCACAAATACATGGTAAAACTAGCATGTTTATTTCTGAGAATAGTCTTTTCTGTGTGTATTCAGAATTCTTTTAAAACATCCTTATTTCTCTTTGGTAAAATATAACAGTGTTCTATTCTGGTTTAAGGCATGAAAGATTGTGATAGAAGTTGAATGAGTTTAAGCAACCCAGATGGTTTTGTGCAGTATTTTTTACAGTTTATCTAAAAAGTTCTTTCACAGTTTTCATGTAGAGTAGCTAAACTAGCTACAGTGAGTCAAAAGCTAATGAAAAAGTCTATGACTGTGATTACTGTTACTCTGTTAACATCCTCTGCCATTTTACCTGCTTTTTTGTTTTTTTCCTATGTTAAAGGTGAGTTTCTAAGCACAGTATTGTGTGCAAAAGGTGAATGTGTTTAGAGGAAAAAGACTGACTGAACTAGGAGAAACAGGAAAAATTTTTGGTGTGTAAAGGTGCAAAATGACCCAGGTGGACAAGCTGAACACTGATGTAAAGTAATACTGGGTGTTGTGACAACTCCAGACTTTAAAAGTGTGGAATTACAAGATACATTTTTACCTTTCAAGAGAGTCTATTTAATTTATTTGTGGCAATTACAAAGGCAGAAAAATAATGTTGTTTTGAAAGTCACTCTACAGCCAAAGCACTTCAAATGTGAGCTGAATCTGTTCATGTTTTTATTTTATTTCTGCTTTGTTTCTTTACCTTTCAGTGCCTAAGTGAACAAACTCAACTGCAACATTTGCAGCATCTTCCTAAGGGAAACCTTAAGTCTGTGTGTTCGAGTATATATGAGAGTTATAGAGAGTTAACATGGAGTTACCAGCTGGTTTTTTTTTTCTGTCAAAGTAGGCTCAAACATCATATAAATGAGAATTAGACAAGGCAATCAGATCTTTTTGTGCAGCATGTTCTTTTATTGCAGTTGCACTTTTCAGAAAGGTAGTAAAGTTCTTAATGTGTTGGCAAAAAAAACCCAACAAATTAAGCTTGACTAATACCTTTAAATTCCTAAGAAACTGTAAAAAAATCCCAACTTGCTGTAATGTGCTCATGGAGTTTTGGATAATTTGAATGAAAATGGTGAGCTCAGTACTGATTCACTCATATTCAGATTATGAATCTTTGTTTTTCTAGAAGTATAATAGCAAGAACACCAGCTTAAAAAAAAACAAAAAAACCAAACACAACCAAACAAAACCAAAACAAAACCAACTTTTTTTTAATCTTCTTTTTCAACCAAGACAAAAAGAATCTAAAAAGTGTTTACCAAAATCTATTTGACCTAGGTCATTCATCCTTTGGTACAAGTAATAAGGACAATTAATTCAAATCTGTGGTTTTTACAAAATTAGATTCAAAATGCAAACAAACCTATGCCAAAGATAAACAAAATCTAAGAAACAGCACTTCAATTCCATAGTAAGTAGTTTATTTTAGTTTATTAATTTCAGAACTAGTCTTTTCCTATCCTAACACAATAAGATTTTTTTGTAAAGCATTTTGATTAAATGCTTTGGGATGCTTGAGAGAGGCCAGTACTAGGGTAGAAATGTTACTACTTTAAAGACAATACAGAGACAGTATTTAGTAAGGTAAAATTAGATTTGGAAGAAAAATTAGTCTTGTACTTCTTATGTTTGTTTATTAAAAATTTAAATATAGTCACCCTCGGTTGAATTTAAAATTCTGTTTTGCTCCCCACTTAGGAGAACTATGAACGAATGAAGGCCCTGGTAACTGAGCTACAAGAACAAGCAGAAAAAATCAGGTTAGGTAAGTATGAAAGTCTAGATTTTAGAATAATAACCTGGCGCTTGGGCTTGTTGAACCTCAAAGAGTTGGCCTTGCCTATTGATCCAGCCTTCCTGCCCTGCAGCAGGTCAACACTCCCATCCAACCTGGTGTCATCTGGGAAATTACTGAGGATTCACTCAATCCTCTGTCCAGAGGACTGGACCCCAAACCAAGCCCTGGGGAACCCCACTAGTTACATGATCTGGATGTAACTCCAGCCAGAGACAGGGCCCAGCTGTCCAGACAGGGCCTTTTACCAGCCAAGAGTGCACCAATCCAAGCCATGAATAGCCAGTTTCTGCAGGAGAAAGCTGTGGGAAATGGTGTCAAAGGCTTTGCCAAAGTTCACAGAGACAACATCCACCGCCTTTCCCTCATCCACTAAGTGGGTCATCCTGTTATAGAAGGAGATCAGGTTGGTCAACCAGGGCCTGCCTTCCCTAAACCTTTGCTGGCTGGGCCTGATCCCCCAGTTGTCCTGTATGTGCTGCATAATGGCCCTCAACATGATCTGCTCCATGTCCTCCCCTGGCACCACTGCCAGACTGACAGGCCTGCAGTTCCCTGGATTGTCTCTCCAGCCCTTCCTGGCAGTGGGTGTCTAGACTAACTTCTGGTCACCTGGGACCTCCCTTTTCAGTCATGCCTGCTGCTAAATATTGGAAAGTGCCTCTGTGAGCTCTTCCACCAGCTCCCTCAATACCCTTGGGTGGATCACATTTGCCCCCATAAACTTGTGTGTGTTTAAGTAGTGTCACAGGTCACTAGCCAGTTCCCCTTGGATTAAGGGAGCTTCAGTTTGCTCCCTGTCCCTGTCTTCCAACTCAGTGGGCTGATATCCTGTTAAAGACTGAATCAAAGCAGGTATTAAGTATGTCTGCCTT